GATTTCGATGTATCGACGTCAATGAATCGAAATCAAGGCTCCCCATTGACTTTCGTCTTTCATTCGCGGCGATTAATCACCGTGTGAATGTAGGCCTTTAGAGGTCAATCAGGATTTAATCCTGATTTCATCAGGATTTGTGGAGAAATCTGTCGTCAACTCAGGATTTGCGAAAAGTCCCTCGTCCGAGTGGAATTTTTTACGAACTATTTTTGTGAAGTGACATATTTTGTGAAGTGAACTATTTTTGTGAAGTGACATTGAGGAGATTGTTTTTCCTCAAAACATCCTCCTCAAAAAATCAGGATTTGATCAGGATTTGGAAAAATGTTGAACTAAGGATTTAGCAGTAAAAAAATCAGGATTTCCCAAAATGAAACTAGAAATGATGAAATTTCAACTTTTTTTTCTTGGAGGATGAGAATACTTCTTCTCTACCCTAAGGGAGCGAGAAAGTAAAAAACTAGACACCCTGTATCGGTAGGCAAGTATGGTCGCGGTGTTTGGAATACCTATTTGGAATTGCATTTTGCAAAAAGGAACCAAGAGCTTCCCAATGTCGCTAAGATTGTGCTACTTGTTTCATGTTGCAAATAAAAACTGATAATCTAAACGGGTTTTATCTCTACCCCCGATAAACTACGGATTCAAGACGAAAATTACCTTTGTGAATTTACTTTTTTGCACGATTTCAGTAATTTTTTTTGAAGAATGTTAGTTGCACAATCCTAGCAACACCTGAATTCTCTTGGTTCCTTTTTGCAAAATGCAATCCATTTGTAATCCGTAGCTAACGTAGCTGACAATGAGAGGTACCGTCCGTTATATCCATGTTGGTGCTCGTTTGAATAACCACGGACGCATAATCGATATCCATCGTTGGTTAGCGTTTGAATGCAACTAAATCGCGGGGCTTCCGAGCACTTCGCTAACTTTCTTGCGTGTTGCCATGATCCGACTCGACCGGTCTTTGCGAAAAGTTTACTTATACCCTCATCGGCCAGCTCTTTAGTACGTCGTGAATTATTTCTTTTGGAAATCATATTTTTCCCGTCGTCAGTAACTTATGATGAGTAAAGGAATTTTTAGCGTTGAATGGGCACGATTCTGCATTATTATTCCGGATTTTTTGTTTTCGTGGAAATGGAAACAAATTTGAAAGCCCCAGGAATAAGAGGGTGGCAATTTTTTTTCCTTCTTCAAAATTTTCGTTTTTACGACGTCCTAGCTGTAAAAAAGTTCACTATTTTGGATAGTTGTTTTGGTAGTCTTTAGGGAAAACTGGTCATAAATTGAAACGTTAGGTGCAGAAAGAACACTTCTTGGTAGCGTTGTTATAGAATTTCAATTTTTAGATTGTTAAGAGGGTACATTGGGTGAATTTTCTCACTTTTATGGTTTAGAACATTGTAAAATTACCAAGGATAGGATATAAAAGGTTTAATGAATTCTACACGTTTACTTTGATCCTATTGGATGAAACATAGGCAGAGAATGAAGTCTATTTCCATTTTAATCTTCCGTCGTATTCTTACGGCGCAACGATACAACTATTTGAACTTTCCGGAATGCGTGAGGTATCACGCCGCATTTGAAGGCGTTTTCAAATTAGCCAAGTTCCGATACCTGGAATATCGTTTTGCATAGTTCATATTCTTTTGTTTTATTCCGAACCACTTGTTTATTTTTAATCCTCGTATAAAAACCACCCATTTGCTAATTACAATTCTAGCTAAAGCGCACTTTAGCTATGCATTCACCACTGCAAAAATTTCAGAGGAAATCGACAAGCCCAGCGTGCATGAAGGCAGGCCCGCCACAAGGGGGGGATACTGGGTCCCTGGTACCGGGGCCCGGGCCCCGGCGGGGGCCCGTGTTACCCGTTAAAAACCACTACAAATTCACATGCAACCCTTGTTTCGTAAAAAAAAAGTGAAAAATTTACCCTAAAAATTTCGCAAAAGGTGAATAAATTTTCAGAAACACGCTGCGGCACTCTAGAATTTTTCTTACTTCTTTAAAGATTTCTATCTTAGATAAGGGGGGCTGGACCCCTCTAGAATTTAAAATAGTATCATCTGCCATCCCATCCACCCCCCCCCCCCGAGTCCGGGGGGGGGCTTGGACCCCCCTAGTATTGAAAATAGTATCATCTGCCCCCCTCCCGAAAAAAATTTCCAGGTGTTTTGAATGCAACAATCCGAAAGTATTTTGTGCTAGAAGTAAAAAAAAAAAGGCTTAATTATTCTGCAGAAACTGAAGAACAGAAATTGATGTGGGAGCTTCACAATGCGTCCAAGTGGACTTAAAATTTTAAAAATTTCCCGGGGGAGGCCTACGGACCCCCTCTGTGCTGGGGCCCAGGCCTTAAAACTAGTACCAGGGCCCGAGATAGGATGTGGCGGGCCTGGCAGAGACTCTAGGATATTGCAACCGACAGTGGCGTGGCGTGCTGTGCGATACATCGATTGATCGGCCCTTTAAACTTACGGCAAAGGATCGATAAACAGGGTGTTCGCAGCGAACACCTTAATAATCGATTCTTTACCATGGGTTTAAATGGCATAACAATCGATATATCGCTATTCACGCCACGCCACTGGCTACCGAGAGATTGACTCTCTGCATTCAGTGCTTCAACTTCGGTAACCAATGAGGGCAGTCGGTTGAATGTGGGAGAAGGCTTGGAAGTTTCTTCACCCCTGCGGGCTAATTATTGAAATTGACAGACAAAGGGATAAACAGAAAAGACAGAGGGACAACGGAACGATGCCATTGGTGGAAGCAGGTGATGGTAATAGACAATGGAGGCACGTAGTGGGTTAATTACGACAACCCACGAGAGACCCTATAGTTAGTTCATAATGGACCACTAGACAAGGTGCAAATTTCAGTATTTTGATACATGTTTCTTAACCAAAATTTCACGTAGAGCACGATGCGCGCAACGGAAATTACTGAAATTAACTCCTTACGAAGATGTAAACGCTTTTATTTCACATTGGTTACGAAGAATTTGAACTGCCCGCTCACAAGAAACTCAAAGCTCTACGTGAGTCAAATCGAGCACTACAACGGTTTCAGCAAGCTTCTCAATCGAGCAATGTTCATTTCCCACCATGTGTTGATCAAACTATAAGCAATTTGCTACAGCTGAGTCAAAGTGTCAAGATTGAGGTTGCCAGATTTTTATATCGCAAACACAGTCATGATAACGTTTAGCGTGCGATGTGAATCACGCAGAGCATTGAGTTTTCATCAGCGGGCGGTTTCAATTCACGCATTAAGAATTGTTAAATAACTTCGCAAGGAGCTGATTTCGGTAATTTTCGTGGTGCGCATTGTGTTTTACGTGAAATTTTGGTTCAGAAACATGCATTAGAATGCTGCAATTCGTATACCTTGTCTAGTGGTCAATTGTCTACCTTAGTCTATGACAACCAGCTATTTCAACCAGTAGAATTGCTCCATTTTCTCTTTTGAATATTTATAGCTTAGTCTATCAATTTCAATGCTCAGCCCACTGAAAAGGTAACAATCAAGGAATAATTCCTCAAATCAAATTATTGTAAATTAACAATAATCATAGGTTACCTATGAACTCGCGGAAATCGTTCCGAATTGAACGATTGAAAATTGATAAAGTTTACTTTTTTCCGTAAAAAATAAGAGCGTGATTTATTTATTTCGTGTCCCGCGAGGCAGCTGTATGTGGCACTTTCCACTTGCTTGCGTGCTTGCGTATCAAAACAACAAATAGATCTGACAGTTGGAAGTCGGCGAAAGGAGTACCATTTCACACAATGGAGCAGTATATCCCGCTCACCCCTTTTCGTGCGCGCGCTGCTGTCTCCTCGGAAACGTCGGCAATTTTTATGTAATGAGTGCTCTCTAATATTCGCTGTTTCTTACAAAAAATATCAGAACAATTTTGCCAGGCTTGAATGCTTTGAAATTTGATGAAAACACCCCGTTTAAGAAAGTTGATCTTGACGGTTTCCTTGATACCTCAATATTATTTAGACGGGGCCTAAAACTTAACGTCCTAGTAGCACCACAACCGTAACAACTTTTCTCCTTCGAAAGGTCGAGCAGTAAAATACTTCCCAACCGCCCCTTCTCCTACAGAATTGACCGGAAAAAGTGACACTTGAATGGACTTGAGTGACTATTGTGTTTTTTTAGAATAGATGAATTAACAGTGGGCATGCCTCATAATTCAATTAAATGCATCATCTTAAATCATACATATATTGCGCTCTCAAATGGAGTTAAGGGGAAAAATTGACGTGCGATTTTTATTTATTTTACAAAATGGTCACTAGTTGTTTAAAATTTCTCAGGAAACATCCAGATCCAACATTTTTTAAACAATGTTCATCAAATCATACTATATATACACTATACAATATAAAATCAGACGTGTAACGCGTATCGCATAACGCCTAAGCGGTTCAGGAAGTACAAGTGCGAAGCGGTTAGGGGGCGTACTCCCTAGTTATTTTCATAGTAATGTCAATCGCGGAAACTTTGACAAACCTTAGAGTCAACGCAGAGTTTCCACATGGCCGGGTAACATCGGAAAATAGGGAAAAGATTTCCCAAAATTCTCAGATAATGTAGGGTAATGTCTGTGAATTGTGCGGATGAGGCTTGAATTTTTATTCTTGTTTGATTTTTTTCTTTCAAGGATTTTTTCTTCTTTTTTCAAACGTTTAAGGGGATTTATTTTGGAAAATTCTTCATCAAAATTATTTTTAGTGGTTTCCTTTTTCTTCTTACGTACGCCAATATGAAGAAAAAATGAGGACCTCTAGGTTAATACTGCAATCTTACTGAAACTAGGTGAAATTCATGTACATGTTGGCGATATTGATTCAGAAAGTTTAGGACCTAGGAAAATTTGGGAAAGTCGAACAATATAACTCAATGTTTAAAGACTCCCTTGCATGCATTGCAAGTTTAATTCTAACACATATTTTTGATTTCTCTATGTTTAGACTGCAATGATCTTGTAACTGAAGGGGACTTCCTCGGGCACGCAACAGAGATGCGCCTATCGACGTATCTCTATGTAGAGGGCTACACAAGAATAACTGCCTTTAATATCTCCTTTCAAGAAATGAAGTGGAATCGTAAGTATAGTTTACTCAGTGGTAAAAATTGTTTGGTTGTTGCACAGTGCCTAGTGGTAACAGAAGCTTTGAAGGAGTAGATAGGTATCCATATTCTTAATTATGAAAGTAAGGAACTCATTCAAGTTTTCAAGTAGAGAGGAGGGAAAATGTCACAACCAACCGGAAATAGCACCAACCGGAAAGAGGGGAAAACCCTTGGAAAAATTCAATTCAGTTTTGTCAATTTGTTTAATTACCCTATACTATGCACTGCCTGATACATAATTGGCATTATATAATTTTTTCTCGGTGAAGGATTTGACAGTTTTCTTGATAGATGCTAGAAATAATTATTTTTGCTTGGATAAGCACATATTTTTTCCCTTAAGATGAAGTAGGAATTCAAGATTTTGCAAAATCTGAATATACCTCATCGGAAGAATTACATGAAAGCTTACAATTAGCAGGCTATTCAAGAGAGGTGTGCGCTTGATCAGAGCTTAATCAATTCATATCTTTATTTTTATTTAATTTTTTTCACTTACATACTTTATTTTGGTACCTTGTAGTTGAAAGTTTTTAAACTCTTTTTTTCACAAGAAGTGCTCAAAGCCTTGTTGTTGCAGTGTGGTCACACAAATTACATCTTTTCTTTTTGAGGTAAGCAGTTACTGTTGTACTTAACATAAAACCTGCTTATTTTCAGGTTTGAAAATGTGGTTTAAACCTATTTCAAATGAATCGAATGCATCAATGTGCCGTGAATTTAGCTTGTCCAAGAAAGTGGAGTTGAATAATACATTATTTTTTGACTGCCTATGGTCCATGGAACGATACGAGGGCACCTCTTATCAATTTCGCTATGCTGCCTTCCTAGATGAAGCCTCTGATTTCCCTTTTGCTGCTAAATATGTTTTTCAAGTACCCTTAGCTGAAAGAATTGGTAAGTTGTTCTCATCTTTTACATTTGTATATAATAGGAGTACTCAAATGTTAGAGTCTAAACAATCAATTATAAAAAATTGATTCAGTGGTCAAAACTACTTCTGTCAAGAGTCAATATCAAAACCAGTTGATTTTACTTTTCACTCGGGTTTTGAACAAATTATCGATCAATTTTTTTTTCTACTATTTGCTTGTTGTTCAGTTGTCATTTATTTGTACGCAAACAAAGCTACTATTCAGTAAAATAGAAAAAAGTGAAGAATATTTTAAACATTTTCTGAATTGCTTTGACAGAATTAGTTCTGGCAAATGATTAAGATATTTCAAGTGTTTATTATAAGATTTATTCGACCATCAAAGTCAGCAGTATTGTATTTTTGCCGTGTATTCATGGGAGTATAAACCTTTTTATGCGATTAAATTTCTCATACCACTGATAATCGAGATGACACTGCGGTATGAGGGCGCATTCAGGTGTAGAGAGTTCAAGAGTCAATTTTACAAGAGGTTGCCGAACAAATATGACAGCTTTAGAGTTTTAAATACTCCAAGCTGTGAAAAATTACCCAGTAAGAAACGAGGTACAAAAAATGTTGCAGGAACCATCAATAGTAATCTGTTTCATGAAGTGTTCCATGCGATATACTTGGGGAATTGAACATTACTAAATGTAAACGTAGACATACCGAGTGACAGTAATATGAAGATGGTCATTTTGTGTTTCTAACGCACCTTTCCCATCTTCCCGTTTTTTTGCCCGTACTTTTTTTGGTTATGCACAGCAGAAAGAATCATGCCAAGCTTTTTGATCGTGGTGCTTTACTTGTTAAGTATTTTGCCAGGACAAACACTCGGAGAGGTTAGCTGCTTGGCTCCTCCCTCCATCATTGTGCTCTAGATGTGTAATGATTAATTTTGTTCAGTGTGGGGCTTTCTATTCTGCTATCTGTTTAATAACGCTTAGCATAATTCTGTTTTCACCAACGTATTTTGTGAGATTTTTGCAAATTGATTCAACAGCTGGGTATTGAGTTGGATATGGTTTGGATATCTTTGACTTCTGTCTGTTTTGCATTTTTGTTCTTTGGAAGTGTCTTTTTTAAAATTTATGGGTCTTCTTTTTTTTTATTCAAAAAGTAAAAACTGGAATTGCTTTTTTCGTGAGGGGTTTTCGTCGCACATAGAATGAACTGAAGATTTGAGGACTAAATTAGCCGAGGTATCGGATGAGATTGTGCCTAGCAGATGATGGAAACTTGGTTTTTCTTTAAGGTGACCCGTCTCATCCTGACTTTAGTTTCAACTATTCTATGTACATTTCTTGTAAAGTTATATGTGCTGGGATTGAGAATTCTCAAAATTTTTAGGATTTATTCAGACCAATCATCTGAAGCAAGTTGAGTTTCCTCGCACCTACTGTTTAAATTAAAATGGTGGCTCCTTATACCACCCTTGCTCGTGAAAAACCCGCCCCCAAGCTGTAGCACTTAAGCAAGTTGAACAGAACAAAATTGCTATTCCTTCCTTTGTAATAAAGCTTATACATATACCATGCATTTTGACCATGGAAAGTGAAAAGAAGGTATGCTCCTCTGATACAAACCACCCAAAGTCGAGTAAACGCTCAGAAACGTTAGTTTTCTTCATTTTTTGTAGAAAGGTTGAAACCGGGTCCAAAATCTGCTGTATTCAATTATTTTTGGTCTCATTCTTCCCTAGCAACTGAAAGGCATGCTCCAATTCTGCAATAGTCGATTTTTATTGGTCCGCTCTTCTGGCTGGGCTTCCCCGCCAAGGCTAAAATGAAACCAACGCGACTGAGCGTTCCGTCGATTTTGAATGCTTTAATAGGGAAAGAGCATATCTGTGTTTCATTTACCTCAAATTTTGACCATCCTCCCCCAATGTGAAGTTTTGCCCAGTACACGATGGTGCCGTTGGTTTTTGTAAAATCAACTTCAAAAAAACTTTGCACCGTTGATGCTTTAAAAATGAGCACCATTGGCATGAAAGGCAAGTACTCAGGTGCTTTTACTTGAGCTTTTGAATCTTTTTCATGTTGAGAGAAAACAATCTAACAAAAACACTGCACCCTCTTTGTTTGTTGAGCTCACCCTAAGAATTTTGCGAAAGCCCAGTTCTAACACTTTGTATAATGCAAGTAGGAAAATGAAAATGTGTAGTTTTAGTCAATAATTTTCTATATTTCTGGCATTTTTATTGTAGCTCTCTACCGTTCTGTTCTATCTATATAATTTTTGTTCCAAAAAATACTTATCCTCCTTATTTCTTCATTTCTTTTCTACGTAGTTCAAAATTGATCCGTATCTACGTTTTAATGAAGAAAAAATTGGTTAATGGTTTATTTTATACCTGTAGAAGAACAGGGAAAAAGGAAAGAGAAGTGAAGCCGTAGAGATGTAGAAGCAAGGTGGAGTATCAGAGACAAATGATGAAATAAATGAAAAGAAAAATTAAATCAATCGTTTGAGTAATGTAAATAATAGTGAATTGTCAGTGAAAAGCTAGGTTGGCAGGTTTGATACTGGTTGGATGACATTACAAACTATGTTTAAAAGTTTAGTTTCAGCCTACTGTAAGAAATATAGAAACTGTATTATGATGATCTCATCAATTTTTAAACATTCTATTAAAGTTGGTTTGAAGGTCAAGAATTGGGATTTTGCAAATTAGTGGATAGTCCAAATTCAAGTTTATGGTATTCTTTGATTAGGTATATGATTAATGTATCACTTAGTCGCTCTTTTTGTCCATATTCATTGAAGCTGATAAGTTTTTGTATGTTAAAGTCTATAGTCACAGATTTTTTTAAATTTAAGCTTATTATCTCATCCATGGATCAAAATGAAACAACTCCGTTTTCAAGGGAAGAACTTTAAAAATGCGCAAGTCAAAATTTTAGCTCCCACTTTATTTTTGAGGAAAAATAAATTCAAGTGAAATTTTTCTTCAGAGGTTAATTTTCTTTTCAAAAGAATGAAAAATTGTGTAAATTCTTAATATTTTACAGGAAGTAGCTCTGAAATGAAAAAAATGATAAACATTCAGGAATTAACAACATCGTCAATTGATTTATCGATGGTGAATCTAGGAAGGTCTGTATTTTAGTTTGAACATTGGAAACCTCCCATCACAGTATCATTATGTGGGAAAAGTTAATAATTTTCCGTCTGTGAATCACCTTTGGCTACCTAAAAATATCCTTGAAAAATATCATACAAAAACGAAACTTGGGATTCCTCCTCAAAAGTAAAGTAAGAGAGGAAATTTTGGAACACCTACACCAATGTGGGATTTTTTTTCGTTTCACAATTCACAAGTCTTCTCTAAGTTTAGCCATTTTTACAGCATCATGTCACCCTTAATAGGTTTTTGCTCAGCTCACATCACACTTTTTGTACATTTAATGTCATCTGCGGAGTTGTGTCTGTACAATCTACTGACTTCAGTTTTAAGGATATTTTTTGCACTTTTCTTCCGTAAACGGTGTTTTGAATGTCTCACTCAGTGTTTTCTGTAAACGTGATTTAATGTTATTTGAAATTTTCCAGCATTGACAAAACACAGGTGTTAGTGGTATATTTATCGTAGAATCTTCTTCCATATTTCAATGGAACAAATTGAATTTCACAACACAACATCAATGTTTCTTTCTAACGCACCTTCAAGCCACAGATATCGCCTGCTAGCTCACTGCACAACTGTGTCTTGAAAAATTGACTCTATGGTCAACTTGACTTGTATAGTCTTGTGTTTTGGATTATGTCAATTGTGTTTAGAGTCGTTATTCTTCCGTCTCTTTCGTTAAAATTTTGTCTTGTGTGCTTGAAGTTTGTTTTTGACTATACACTCTGTTTTCAGTCGTCTCGAATGTATATCTTTTTAATGTTTTAGACACTACCTAAGAATCTTTCAATCGATTACTTTACTTTTTTTTAGGTTATAATTCACTTTTGCTTCTACGATCTGAACTATTAGTTGAGTCCATTTTAGTCAGGAAGTCATCTTTAAAAAGTATTTCATTTTACCTGTGATGACTGCAAAGATTGTATTAAAGGAATTTCTGCCCTTCAAAACACTGTCTTGCTGTAAAAAGCATTAATAATAAATGAAGTGAGAAATCCTGACCAGGGTAGAAGTATCATAGTTTGTGAGATACATATGATTATTTGCTGTTAGTCCAAAATAATCACTTTGTCTCTTAAAAATGTACTCTTTGAGACAATTTTGTCATTGTCTGTAGTTTGAATGATGGAAGCAAAAGTGGATAACGACACTATGATCTTACTTAACTTTCTGTTTCATATTAAATTTGTCAGATTTTATTGATAGCATGTAAATTTAATGTGTTGAGTTTCTCTCTCCTCTCTTACTATCTCTCTCTTCTATCACTGACTTAGAGACATTTTTCATATTTTTCATCAGTGTTGCTGTTCGATTCTGCATAAAAATTGGAATAAATGTCATGTCACATTTGAAAAGTACAGTTTCCAAAATATCATGAAGAAATTAAATTGAAAAAACTAGGCTATTCTCCGCAAGTGTAGCCTACTATGAGAATGGTTGTGTAATAGACTGGCAGAAAAAATTTAATGTTGCCTCTGAGATGCTGCTGTCGTACATTAAAAAACAGCTTTCATGTGTTCAATCAGGTGTACAAATAAAAGAATTCAGTGGGTAGGTAGCGGCGGTTACAGAACAGATCACTAGACAAGTCAAAATTCACACATTCTGTTTTACTGCTTGGCTATAAGTTCATGGTTTTTCTCACTAAAAACTACCTCACATCACCAAAAGCCGCCTTTATTATTACAAATTTATGAGGAAAACTCCAGGAAAAAATCTTTGGGTTTACTCTTTGTAAGACAGAAGGAGGAACAGATGTGACTTGCTACACATGATAGGACACAGAGGAAAAATTCTGTCGCCTGTCTATTTCAATCAATTCCATTTTGGGCCAGTACTTATTGGAAAAGTGAATCATCCCTTGAGAGGTGGAGAAGTGTCTACGATATATAGTGGAACATACCCACTAAAGATACCATCGTAAATGAAACGTGATTATTCATGTCAAGCATTTTGTCATGCATCATATTAATAAAAGAGAATTCAGAGAAATCTTTCCAAGTCTTTGACCAAATGAAAATCGTAAATTTCGTCTTTTGACGTTTTCCTCTTTAGTGTGCTGAATTCCAAAAAAATCAAAAATTAAATCAGAACTTAAAGAAAAATCTAGCTAACAAGGCTCTAATTTGCATTATTTATCTCTATAATCTGAACAATATCTGATAGATTATGGTGATGATTTAAAAAATATTTCCTATCATGTCAGGTCGATATTTTGGCTCAATGAGTCGAGAGCAGTTCTAGTTAACAGTTCCTTATGTGAGGAACCCTCATCAAAACAGCCTATCCCATTAATGGTCCTCATAAATTTCACTTCGAAGCAAGGAAGGCTCTTCAAAGATATTTGTCAAGAAGTAACACAGATGATTTGCTCACTTTTTTCTGTTTGATCAAAGGGAGGTGTTCCTCAAAATTCGTTTCTAGTACAGGAATAATCACAGAACATCTGAATCTGTGCATTGTGCAGTAATCCTGAAGAGTAATAAATAGTTAATAGTTCATGTAGAAAGTTTTCTCAATTCTCATTGAACAGAAAATTTTGCACATTACTCAGAGAAATTACTAGTTACTCGGACTCTATCATTAATGAATGTTTTTATCATACTCTGTGGTTCCTTTTTTAAATGTATTCATACTTATTTTATTCCTCTATGATCTAGATATCGAGCGAACGAATGCCACAGAATGGGAAGTCTTCATGTACCTCGATATCAGTGCTCTTCCTCTTGTGACGTTACATGTTCAAGAAGCACCCAGTCATTTAAAAATCAAGAGCTACATCATTGACGTGCATCGCAATTGGGGTAGCAGTTCATGGACTGCTTCTTCTTTCACCATTCCTGCCACAGATGTAAAGAACGGTGAAATTGCCCTCCAGTATAATGCTCGTTACAAACCTGGCATCTATCACTTCACTGTTTCATTGAATCATGGTCGATGTGGGGAACACCTCAAAAAGTGCTTTGTATCGACATCTCCGAAATTTTTCGTCGGTGAGAAAATTGAAGATATTTTCTAATGTTTTTGTTATCCTCACCACAGAGAGAGAGAGAGAGAGACAGAGAGAGAGAGAGAGCATGCCAATAATTGTAACCAGCCAAAATTCCTGTTCGAATTCGGGGGAACAAATTTTTTTGCTTCGTCTTTTTCATTTACCCTCTTGTTGATTTCCTAAAAAAATTTCATGTCAAGTACCGTCAAAACTATGATGAGATGGATTCAGAATAAAAGAAGTCCATTCGTAATGAAAGTCTTGACTTCAATTGGGGGTCCATGAGTTTATTTCTAAATGCCTTTGGTTGTTGGCGCACATACACATTATTGTAAGCGGGAACCATTTTAGTCATGAGGCTGTGAGGAAAATTGGAAGTATAACTGTGAAGAAAGTTGGCATTATGACTGTAAGGAAAAAACTTTGGATCGCAGTAAATGGTCGCCATTTCGGATCTTTTTGCACCTCTGCGCTAGCCTTCCTACAAAGACTTATTGATCCCTTTAAACTTTTAGTACCTTACACTTCAGAAGTATCGTTGTGATCATCAAAGCTTGTTTGTTTCAGTTTCATCAAACCCTAATCCACCCCTTCTGATCGCTATTGTTGGAGTTGTGGTCCTAATTCCAATTCTAGTCACCATATTTTTACTCTGGAGAAAACAAATCCATCCCGAAGGTATGTACATTTTGGTTTGTGTTCTGGAGTTATTAATTGTAAGTAAGTAAGCTCTTGGAGCCAAAGCAACTTGCATCTGCTGTTGTTCCTCCTGAAGTTGGACCGTACTCCTGAACTAAATCTCATGATACTCATCTAATTTTTTCCGCAAGGCTCAATGGCAGCCTGATCAGCCAATAGGAGTTGCATCAACAACCATGGCAGATGCTACCAAGCTCGGATTTTTTGAGTACAGCCATGCCCTCACTGAGTTGGACACAGTGTACCATGATCCTCTGTAGTTGGGATAAAAAAAAAGAACTAAAGGAAAAAAAACCCCTAGATTTAGGAAAACTAGAAAATTCAAGTAATGACATTCAATCTTTTGTATTTTGCTGTTAATCCTACTCCACAGATTTTTCCTGATAAACAGAAGTTTTAGCAACATTCAATTCTCGCATCAAATGTCGCAGGTTTTGGAGTATTGTGAAATCGTGTTTTCAGCAAGTCCTCAAAATAAGCAATTTTTTTCCTGACAATATCAGAAGGAAGGGCTCAGAATTTTTTTTTCCACTTTTTGTGGAATTCTGGGAAAAATTCTTCAAGATTTCCAACAAGGCATGGAGATAATTTGAATTCTTCTATTTTTTTTCCAAGTAGATATTCAACAAAGCACTAAAATTTTGTTCATAAAGTAGAGATATGTAGGAGGAAAAATTGAACTCTCCAAATGTTCTCTATTTCTTTAAAAATGACCTGTTATCCGAAGATATTGCATTTTCTGTATCCTTATAAAAGAATTGTTTGCAGTTATGCCAAAATAAGAATAAAAAATAAAAGAATAAGAAATGAAAGGGATGATGTTGGAAAATTAATAGGTGCATTATATTTTTAAACGAAAGTTTGTCATTTGCTAAGATTTAATGATAAATTTTATTTCTAGGTTTAGCCAACATTAAATTTTCTCAGGGTGTCAGTTAGTGCTATACATTTAATGATGGCTATACCTTGTAAAAAAATTCCTCATATTTTTAATAGTGCCTCTATATAACTCGGTATATTCTATTAATTAAAGTATTAATATATCATATTATTAATGATGATACCTTGAAACAGTGAAGAGGGAACGACTTTGAGATGGATATGGAATGCCATAAGCTACATATTCTGTAATGTTCTTCTTTTTTTATTTGCAGTTCTTGAGAAAGCGCCTCCACGAATGCTTATAGTTTACAATGGGAACTATGCAGGCCATGTTCGAGTTATCAAAGAATTCGCACGATATTTGAATGATGTTTGTGGCATCGATGCACTTTTAGATTATTACTGTGTACCTGAGTCTTCATCTAAGGTTTGTTCCTTACTTGATGTGTCCTTAATATTGTCTTCAAATTGTTAGGGGTCCATTCAGAGATGCAAAATTTCATGCAAATATCTTTATCAAATGAAATTTCACAATGGAATTTTTCAAAATCTCTGCAATGGGCTTAGGCTAAGAAACAATACAATTTTTTTTTTTAAATTTTGAAGCAAAAATCATCAGTGAAGTTTCAAATTTTCCAAACGAATTCTTGGATAATTGTTGCAGTTTGCATATCGACGCTGTAAGTTAGCAATCGCATAACTTGGTTCGCGACATCACAGACTCCCTGTCATACCTTATTTTTTAAACGAAAAAATACTCAGCGGCAATTCTTTAAAAATGCCGTGATTTTTCTTCTCTGTGCGAAGAAAATTCTGCAAAAATTTCAAGGAATGATGTCAATTTGTTCTCCTTTAAAAAAATAACATAGAGGCGAAGATTTTCAGACACCTCAAACGAGATATGTGATTGCAGACTTACCCTGTCGAATGTCGATAAGCAGCCCCTGAAAAATTGTTGAAATTCCATGGAAAATGAAATTTTTCTTTTCAGTCAAATGAAATTTTTTTTTGTATCATTTGGTCTAGTTGATAAAATGAAAAAAAAATAAAAAAAAAAAAAAAATCAAAATCTCCCCATGAAAAAAAATCAAATAAGGCAGAATTTATGGCAGTACTCAATCTCAATTGGATCTTATTAATCGCAATTCAATGTGTCCATTAAACTTTAGAAGATATGGCACGCCAATCGGTAGTTGTGTTCTACAGTGGCAATTAGCCTATTTGAATCCGTCAAAACATTATCCCTATAGAGAATTATTGATTCGTTTTGAGAGGTGTGACGGTGAGAAAATGTATTGGAATAGAACCACTTGCAACTGCACACAATGGAACATACATTGTCTCGACAGGAAGATGGAAGATGGAAGATTATACTTATTTGCCAACTTTCAGTTGCCAAGTTGCCGCATTTTTTCGACTATGGGTCATGTTATCATATTGATCATGACTTGTATATTTGTGTTTCATGAGTGCGACAATCAAACCTCTTCTATAGTTACTCAAATTTTCTGTCCTTTAAAATTAGTCCTTTAACCTCCCTTCAGGCGATTATATGTCCAATCATTACAATTTGAACTAAATTTATCATTGCATTTGATGGTTGTTTTATGTATTTCAGGATCCTGCAAAGTGGTATGCTGAAACATTCAATACAGTGGACTACGTAGCTGTATTTGCCTCCCCACCACAATCTTACGCTCAGTGTGTTCAAAAATATGTCAGCCTCTATCCCGATATGGAAGCTGTAGCCTTAAATTTGCTCAGACGCCGGCTGGCCCAGATTCCATGCCTTACCCGATTCCTCTCAGTGGTTTTGCCATATTGTTTACCCTCTACTTTAGGAGCAGAAGCTAAAGATTTTACCAGGTTCATGCTATTTTCTGACCTAGATAAAATGTTAACATATATTCGCGAAAACCGTATACCAATTTTCCCTCTTAAAGTCGAAGGAGGAGTGAACGATCTCGAAACAAAAGGAGCTCAATTATTAGAAACTGTAAAAAGTGTTCAAAAGGAGTTAGAAAATTGTGAAATACTGAAACGAAACGGCAGTAAATTCGAACGTAGGAAAAGTGACGGCAGTAAAGCAACAAAGAATGATTTCAGTGAAATCGTCCATGAAATGGACCGAAGCAAGTGCACAAGTAGTATTGATAGTTCGCCGGAGGACAATGATTTCACTATTTGTAAAGATGACGATAGTACTCTGAGATCAAGAAAACTGACTCTTTGTTCAGAGCTCGATTTTTCTCCAACACTGGAGAATTTGGATTTACTCCAAAATGGCACATCTCCTGTAAAAGATGATGCTGATAATGATATTCACCACTCTAGAAGTAATTCAGATTTAAATATAGAGCATTTAAATTTATTAGGTTAATCCTCTACTGTACGGAAAGGGCATCAAATGCTGAGCCAAGCGCTACCTCCGGTGGTGTGACAAGCATCATGTTACAGAATCTTGTTTCAATACTGCATGATGTATGCTTGAATCGTGAAAAAATCACGTCTGTTTTAAGGAAGATTGTAAGATGAATTGTTGGGATGAGATCGATTGCTCTGTATCATGATGTACGTCAACCAAACACAAAGGAAATAGTATGTAGGACTTTAGCCTCCTGGCTAGATTAGGTACGACTTAACATTCGTCAGTAGCGCTATCTTTTTGCCCCTTGAGGATGTTATCTGTGCATGTATTGCACATTGACATGCATTTTGTCAGATCTGTGATATACTTTTTGATTGTACAGTTGGTTTGGGTGTTTTTTTAATAAGTCCTTAAGTCATGATTCCCAAGATAAAATGAAAATGCACCGTTATCTAATAACAAGCAAGATCCAAATGCAACCATAAACCAAAGTGAGAAAAACAAAATACGAGATTTACAAGTCTCTCCTTGCATTCATTATTAAAGCACTTTAATCTTGATGTAATTTTAAGAGCCAGATGTATGTACTTATTTATTTTTTTTACAAGCTCTAACTTTAATTCAAGACTGCTCATGGAATAACAATATGTTATGTTTGACTGTCAATTAAATTGACAGCAGTGATTTTTATTAGACCCAGGACTTGTGATCATGAGAAACGATTTCAGTAGTGTAAAGGAAAATTAATTTTATCTTATGATAGTTTTTTTGAGTTTTGATAAGTCTTTTAAATAATGTGCTCTTTGTGAGCAGTCTTTAATTTATTTTCTATTAATCCTTCTCATTTCATTTTGTCATTATCAAATTTATGAAGTTAGAATTAGAAGCGAATTTTATTTAGTCTTCAGTGGAAAGAAACTTTTCTTGTAAGGCTTGTTCTAACTTAGAAATACTGAATTCCTGTCCAGCCATTCAGCCTGATTGTAATCGGTGAAGTGAAATCGGTGTTTTTTGGTCAACATGGACATTGTCACCTAGACAAAGCCAGATAATTACCCAGTTCATGGATCGTTCTTGTTTACTTAGAAAAAACAGAAACCTACCATTTTATTTTTGTGTTACAGCACTATTTGGAAAATCAGATATAAAATCTTTACCTGATCCACAAGTAAAGTCCGCTTTATGTATTAAAAATGTTAAAGCTCAAGTTTTTAAAAACATTGTACGTACAAGCTTCAGNCAGCTATCACCGACTGGCCTGACCGTGGAGACAACGATGAAAGTAGGGGAAAGAGGAAAAGAGCAAGAAAATAAACGTGGGATTCCCAATCACTGATAAGTCGTGAATGTAGAGTCGGTGCGAGAGCTATTATTCTGTGGCCACTATAGCGGTGCACCAAAGTGTATGGCGGGTTACGGAAAACTATTTTTCGCAGGAATAACGATCCCGCTTGTACATACAAGCTTCAGGGAATTTAAACAACTTTTTTGTATTCAAGGAATATTTGCGGTAAATTTATTCAATTGTGATACATTTCTCTTGAGAAAATAGGAAAAGCAAGAATAGGTAATCGTCGAAAAAACAGTGAAATTTGCATTATTTATGCAAATGGTTTTCCAAAGTTTTTGCAGAATTTATTTTGTCTCTAATCAGCAAGAGACTTTCAAAAATTTCATGTTAGAAAATGGCTGGATCAAAATTACATAATTTTTTAATCTTTCAAGTTTCACAAGGAAGTGTGCTTCTCTCAATTTTCAGGATATATTCTCCTGGTGTCTTTTTTAGCCGTGTACCCAGTGTATCTCAAAAATTCTTGTACTTATCTTTTCCTGATGGAGCATTTTTTTCACAGGCCTAAGTAGCTTTAAAGAGTAACATCATTTTATACGTATTTCCTTCCTAGGTTTTATTTAGTTGGCAGTAAATTCTCTTTCTTTTTCGCTCTTTTTGTCAAATGTGGATGAAAATGAGAAGAAAGGATGTAGATTATTTGTTACTTCATTTTTTATGGTCGTGACGTCAATACACTGATAGCGCCATCAAATAGAAACAAAACTGGCTCTCTTCCTTCCTGTTGTTGCCAAAGCAGGAAGTAGAATGTTACACCAAGTACATTAACTTAGCTCATCGTCATTCTAATGTATCACAATCGGTCTGTTGCATGCAACTGATACAGCCAAATGTCTAGACATTTTACAGTTAATGTCGCACAAAAATTACATTAGACACATCATGAAAGTCTATAATCCATTCCTCAGCCCACCCTACATAGTTTGTAATACGCATTTTCAAATTTACTGAGTCCTCGGAAAGTTTTTTTTATTTTTATTTTGCTTGTACGCAAAAAAGTAGATATCATACTTTTTTTATGTGCCCATCGTGATTATCATGCAATTTTTTCAGTGTACAGTTTATTTATCTTCTTGTATCTCTTGCATGCAACAGACCCAATGTAGGTGTAAGCAAGCTTTCGGTCGACAGGCACAGTGGAAAGTAGAAATGTGAGTGCCAGGACTGTTTGGCTCAGTATGGCACTATTTCAATAGAAGAAAGCTGAGCTTTCAGTTCTAACTCAACTGCTCTAGTCAATTATGTTTAATACATCAGATAGGTGACTAAAAATTGAAATCGGTGTAGGAGTAGTTATTACCTTCCATAGTCAGGGTGTCTACAAGTCCAGAATTTCCGGAAAATCCGGAAATAGTACTGATTTTCAATGGACGGTCCAGAAGTACTGAAAAAGTGCGGATATTTCGCAACAAGGTCCGGAATTTTTTCAATTTCTTGTCATTTTTGTTGCCATTGAAGTAAGAAATTCAAATTTTTTAAATTTTTCGAACTTTGTCAAATGGAGGTACTAAAAAAGTACTGAATTTTTCTGTTGAGGAAGGTACTGACTTTTTGGAAATGTACTAAAAAAGTACCATAAAAGTACTGATTTTTGGCCCGCCTGTTTTAGTAGACACCCTGATACTAGGATTTTCTCTTTCCACTCTGTGTAATTTTTTCAGAATCCGTAATCATCGCATGTTGCCCAAAATAGTTTTACTTTTACTTCATTTTTCACAATCATATGCATGTAGTTTACGAAATCAAAATCTCCAATGACTTATACCTGTTTATTTTTTGTAAAACATTAGCTTTATTGTCTCTCTTTAATTTATTTTATTTTCATATTTCTTCCCTATTATTTTCTTCTTTTTTTCGCCATCAACTTTTTTATCACGTTACTTGAAGTCATGAATAGTTTTGAAGATTTTAAAATTGCAGAAAATGTTTCAATTAAAAAAAGTCTAACACCCTCTCCCCCCTCCTTCTTCCTCCAAGCAAAAATGACAAACAGGAAAAGAACGCAGATAAACTAAAAGGAGACTTCAAAGTTGTTTTTGTTTATATTCCTGAATTTTTCATTTTGCCATTCAATAGAAAATTTTTTATACCATAGCTTTCTCAGTAATACTCACTCTAATAATTTTTTCTCTCCTCTTTCACTTCATCAAATCTTAATGGAACTGATTTAATTTCCACCGCTAATGTGAACCTAATTGTTATGTATTACAAGGTGAGCATTTTAGTGGTATGTAGCTTTAATCAAATAACTATTCAATGCCTACCGTATATTTTTTATCAACTTAATCCTGCCATAATTTTATGCTGCTTTTCCCCCCCTTGCTTCTTTTTCCAATGCATCTTATTAGGGAGATATTGTTAAATGCAGTTTGGAGTCACATTTTTATAATTTTTAATTTTATTTTTTATTTTTAAATTTATTATTTGTGTAGTTAATATTTTTCAAATTTTACTATTCTGGTGCAAACAAATGTACTTAATGGTCTAACTTTTAGGGCCCTTTTCTGTTATCAACTGTATGTGTATGTTTATTGCACTTTAATCTGGAGATGGTAAAGAAAGAGAGTTTGTCGAGAAGAACTTGGAATTCAAATGTATTTTGCACTGCAATTCCTTGGGATCTAGTAAATCATTAGTTATTGTTCATTATTTACGGCAGCGTCAACACCTACCTATCAAGTGAAATATCAAGTAAAATTGAACAATTTTCACATTTTGCACTCAGTCATTTATTTTTTAAGCTATAATCTGTGGTTCTCTAAAACTTTCTGCCACTTATTTTGTTCGTCTAATTTTCGTTTCTGAAGATGTTATTGACAAAATTTTGAATTTTTTCAAAGCGACTAGTGACTTCTCGTTTCACAGTGTCTTAAAAGTTGCGCCTAGTTTATGAGTAGGTAGGTTTCAGGTTATTTTAGAGAAATTCAGTCATGCAGGATTACATTAGGATTTATTAAGTTTTTTTTTCTTATTCTTCATGCTCACTTCCGTAATGATAGGTAGTGTAGTGTGTCATGCTAAACACCTGAATTTTCTCAGTCATCCAGTTGTATATATATTCTTTCACATATATCTAATTCAGAGCATGAAGGTGATCATTTAAAGTTACGTTTCGAAAGTATTATTCATTCTGAGTAATATTATTTAGTTTTGTGCGTTTAGTTTGTAAATATCAGTTCAGGCTTTAAAGTTGAGCTTTACTTAGAATTTGTAGCACTCTCTTGAACACATAAAAAAATTATAAAGTTCCTTGTTTCCAGAAATGCAATAGATCAGTGAAAGACTCCCAGAGGAAACTAGAAAAAGTGCTGTAATTCTATCATTTCCTCACAACCTTTTCCTCGTCTGCACTGCATATTGTTAATTATGGTGGAATAGTTTTTATCATGAAGGTTCTACCTGTCAATCAAGGAATTGCCTCAAAAAGATTAGAGTTTTTCCCCACAGATTTTCACCAGCACTTACATTAAAGTGAATTTCCATCCAATACTAGAAAAAAAGTGCATCCAGTGTATTTGGTGCATGTGTATAGGAGAGCTATTGCCCATAGCACTCTAACGAATCATACGTTCATTGTTTTGTAAATGCTCTTTTGAGATAGATTCCCTCTTGCATTACGATCTCCAACTTTGACTCACCTTCATGAACTGGGTCTTTAATTATTTTCTCACAAGTTTCAAACTTTTTTCGTTTGGAAGAGTCCAAAAAAAGGGAAGGAATAACTAAGCAAGAAAAACATGAAGCTTAGTTTTTGTGAAAAAATAGCAATCAAAGACACTTTCCTGGATCGTAAGATAACTGTAAGTACGGGTTTGAGAACTATTGATAGCTAAATTTTCACCGATTTGGAAAATCAGGGGAAAACAATGCAACAGCTCTTTTGCCTGCGGTGTATTTTTCAAGTTTGAAAACTTCATATCTTTGGGTCTGATAATCATTGCAAACTTTTTTCTACATCTTGATTCTTTACTAATTGTTTTAAGTATGAAAATCACTCAATTTTTTTTCTAAATTGTTAGTTACATCTCTTCGGCTCACAACTTCAGATGCAAATTGATTTTTTGAGTATTGAGAGTCAACACGGCCTCTTTTTTTGTCACTGTAGCTACTTCAAGTTGCGGAACAAGTTCCAAGTTTCGTGTGTGCAGAAACATTTTTTAAAAACTTCTATTTACGCGTGACAAACAATAGCATAAATTTCCCTCTGAAATGCATAAAATCAGTTGGTTCTCTTCAATATTTATTTTCCAGCGGTACTCCCAGCTTCAGCTTGAAACTGAGAAAAATACTGAAATACGGCAGAAGAGGTCTTAAGGATGGGGAATATCGCCTTAGAGTGGTGGTATCAGGAATCTTCTATTTTCTCTTCCCAGAAATGTCAAAATTGTTCTACTCCATTAAATATGATTTTTATGGATTAAACTTAATCAAAGTAATTCAGGGATAAAATTTGCTTGATTGTTCCTTCCCTTACCTGGGCTGAGAACTGGATACTTCACTGTGATCCGCCTTAAGTGTGGGGCACTGAGATAGGTATTATGTCCATATTTATGTCTTCTCTTTATAATTTTCGTTTGGTGATTTGTGTGCAATTGATAACATTGGAATCATCCATTTTATGAATTAAATTCATGTCTGTTGCTTTTTCTAAATTTTGTACAGTTATGAAATTGCTTAGTTGCCTTTTTCGTTTGATGGATTTTCCCTCTCTTTTTTACCTTGGACTTTTTATACCTATCTTGATATGTATTAAAACTGTTGATGTTTTTTATCTCTTTAAGTGCTTAAATAATCCAATGTTTGTAAGTGTTGTTGTTTGAATTCATTCATTTTAATGTTATCTAGGCGCCATCGAAGCATGTAGGTTATGTTGATTATTTTTATAGACATATTGTTAAATTGGTTAACATGGAATCCTCAAATTGTACTTATTTTGGCTTTTTGACCGGTTTTAATTTTTTTTAAAAATTTTTTAGTGCAAAAACTTCCTTTTTTCCATCAATAAATTAAGGTTATTTAAAACTCTGAAATTTGAGTTCTGATCATTTCCTCTTTTGGTTCGCCCAGTTACCCTGATTTTCACAGAAGATACACTGAATACATATCTGAAAATCTCCGCCTCTGTGTTAATTTTTTAAAGGAGAGCAAATCGACATCATTCCTTGAAGTTTATGCAGATTTTTCTGCGCATGGAGAAGAAAAATCATGGCAATTTTGAAGAATTGCCGTTGAGTAGTTTTCCGTTTAAAAAATAAAGTATGACAGGAAGTCTGCAACGTCACAAACCGAGTTATGTGATTGCCGACTTACACCGTCGATATGTACTTGGTTGGTTAAAATATTTAATTTACATTTTATTTATTTTTCTTTTCTTCCAATACCAAATCGCACAGTCGAATGAATAAAGATGGTAAAGATATTTTCTCTTTTAAAAAATCTCATGAGAGTAAGGTACTCTCTTAATGTACAACAAGAGTCAACGGAATGAAAAACAAGAGCATGAAGAAGATTATAAAAAGGAAAATGAGATAGGTACCTATTAATAAGTAACAGTACAAGTTCAAATATCAAAAGGTTCCTGCTTATAGCTGATAAAGAATTAAAATACAAAAAAATCTGTAATAAACATTAAGGAATGGCTTAAGTGGTTGAAATTGTGATATTGCCAAACTGCAAAAGTATGTCATGGAAAAGTCATGTGCCAAAATTCTATCTCCTGATAGGTTGCAAGGAATATTACTGAACTACATGACGAAAGAGGGAAAATTACACTCACTTCAGAATGAGATTATTTTGAACTTGAAATGCGTATTTTGTTCCTGACAGGCTTAAGTGAACATACTTAGCCTGTCATCGGATTCCCAGTATTTTATACAGTAACATTTTCTACGGATTTTCATGATGTTGTGCAGTGTCCTTTACAGTATGTTCCATTTGTTCCAAAACTTTGAAATCACAAGTTGAAAAACGCTGCGCGCGTTTGAATAATCGCGCTGAACAATGCGGTCGGCGCGGGGCGCATGTAAGCGCCTGCAAGACTGCATGAATACTTCATGCATTGCGCGTACCTACTCCACGGTGCGGTTAGTGCCTGCAAGACCGCATGGATACTTCACGCATTGCGCGTACGCCAATGTGCGCCATGCGCGCCTCCATCGTCGCGTTACCCCATTTTCCGTCTTGTGTAGTTCACATTTCCAATGTGTAAACAACGTGAAATAGCTGAACTGTTTGCTCAACGTTCAGTTTGCGTTCGACTCAAGTTTTTCATATGAACAGGGATTTTGAATCGCATCGGAAAACGTAGAATCTTGGTAAGTTTTACTTTCAATAATTTCCGTTGTATAAATAGACCGCGTTTAGCAGAAAGGAACCGAGCCACATCAGATATTGTAGAATTTAACTGGGCAATTTAATTTTTTACAAGAGAACGTTTGTGCAGATTCTTTTGAAAATTTTAAGGAATTTGCTTCGTACCATGCAGAAGATTTACTGAAATTTGCAAAAAAAATCCGCACAACCATTTTCATGTAAGAAATTAAATTGCCCAGTTAAATTTGCGATCGATAGCTGATGTGGCTTGGTTCATTCCTGGTTAACGTGATCCATTAGTTCCTGTAAATTTTCAGTCTTGTCAAAATTATTTATATCATATGGTGTGATCACTTCTGTGTTACTCGTGAGCAATTTTAAGTTTGGTTTAAAAATCAGGATCCCTGTAATCTATATGGACTTTTTTGTGTAGGTACCTTTGTTGGTACCTGTATAACAAGGCATTCAACAGCGTTCATTACAACAAGGATCTTGTTCAATAATCGTTGTTTGAATTTACAGGGAGCACAAATAAGGCGACTGAAATATTTCCTTTCAACCCTCACATTTATCTCGCTCCGCAAACTTTTGGCCGAACCGGTAAACAATGTTTCGAGGTCTATTTGCAGTTAGCATTTACGCAGAGTGCGTCAACTGAGATGAATTTCTGGCGAAGATCAGCCGGAATCTCGAGGAGGGATCGCGTAAGGAAGGAAAGAGTCCGTGAGATCATGAACGCCGAGCAGAACATCGTGCATGAAATTATGACCAAACAGCTTGTCTTGTATGGTCATGTTCAACGAATGGCGTATGATAGGTTTCCTAAGAAGGTACTAGTTTGGGTTCCTCCTGGGAGGAGACGCAGGGGACGTCCTGCAAAATCGTGGATAGGTGGCATTCAAGATGAAATCACAAGATGCCATTTACCAGATAACCTCTGGATCGATAGGCAAGCATGGCGATTAGGTATCGCAGAGCTCCCGGGTGCGCTGTAAAGCGACTCGAATGTATGTATTACCTTATTTTGCCGCACAAGCAACAAATTCGCCGGGGAGCACAAATTATCTATTCAAGAAATACAACTTTTCTCGCTCTACAAATTTTGATAGGCGGATCAAAATGCACAAACCTATCGGTAGATTTTGTTCATTTGACCCTTAGATGCCTAGGGTCAAATTGACTCGCGGCTTGCTAAAAACACGTGCCCCGCGTGTTGTATGAGACCGGTACATACGAGCTTTAGAAATGGGTCTTTAAATACATCTTAAAAAAGAATCAGACATCAAATTGAAAAAAAAGAGAAAAAAATCGAGTGACAGGGAATTTTTTTTGACGTCGGCCCCTAGAAATCCCAAGCCAAGTCAAATTGACCCGACTATTCTGCCGTGCTAAGGAAGAACGCCGTATTTACTCTCAGGCGTTGCCAAATTTCCTTTGGTGAATCACGAATTCTCGGGAACATTAGTAAATATTTCTCCTCCAATGTTTCGTGTATTTTTGCTCGCAATTTCACCTAAAGTTTCTGAAAAGTTCAAGGTAAAATTTGCACAGCTTTCCTCAAAAATAAACATTTTATCGAAGGAAATCTGGCAACTCTCGAATGTTCATACGGCGTTTTTCCTTAACACGGCAGTATTCCTTCTGGGGTAGTTAAAAGGTCGACAAATGAGCTTTAGATATAGGTCCATAAATACACCTTAAAAAGAATTGGACATCAAATCGAAAAAATAAAAGGAAAAAATCGAGTGTCAACACAGCTAAAGATAATAGAGAGTTTATCCTCCTTTTATTACCTTTCTTCCGAATCTAGAAGACACCTCATTGGCAGCATAGAGCGGAACATTGCGAGTTCCCAGCCTCTCGTCTACGCGCCTTCAATTTTGCAGATGCAACACGGACATCCATCAAGCACGAATAGTTGTATCTCTGCGCCGGAATCAACGCGCATCCTATCCCCTACTTTATTCCATGTTTTGATGGTTTCGTTTGTCTTATTTGTGGGTGATCCTTCAAAGGCTAGGTGAGCAACTCAGCCAATGATTGGAGAGACTTAATCGGACCTCATTTTTTCATTTTTCTGCCGAGTAAGAGTGACATGCACTTCAGCAGCGTAGAGTGGAGAATTGCAACTATTGCGAGTTCACGCCTCGCGCCATCGCGCCTTCAATTTTGCTTATGCAACACGGACATCCATCAAGCACGAATAGTCGTATCTCTGCGCCGTCATCAACACGCGTTGAGGCGTCTCTTATTTTTGAATCCTGAGGAAATCGAAGGTTAAGTTTGCTCAAAATATGCTATAATGTGTTCAAATCAATAATCATTTTGCAAAAAAAAAAAGAAAAAAAAATCAGTGGTTTTTAAAGCGCCCCCAAAGAGGTGCACAAAAGTTGTTATTTTGGCGGGAAATGTGCGATGTCGTGTCAGAGAATTTTTTCAGGTGTAAATGGCTGTTTTTTCACTTTAAAGCGTAATTTATTTATTGCTTACAATGTGCTTTTGCACGAAAGTATAAATGATCAACCCTCTCAAACACACAGGTTTAAAAAAAAAGAAGAAAAAAACGGCGGAAAAAATATATATAGGAGTGAGATACAGGCTAATGCAAGGATTCCGTATAACGATTGCTGAACAAGATCCTTGTCGTAAAGAACGCTGTTGATTGCCTTGTTAAACACCATTGCAAAGTGTCTCGGACCGGTGTCCTTACGATCGGAAGCGCGTTTTATTCTTATTTTTATCGGATGTTTAATCACAAGAAAACTCTTCCGTCGATTCTCAGCTCTTCAGTAATTCCACGGCATTGTTGCACTTGATGTGTACGTTTATGAGTGTGACATATTTTCTCGGTACTTGCAACGGCTTTCCAGGTCGTGTGAGAGCTTGTAGACCTTTCTACACGATTCGCTTTCTTTTATTGGTTCAGTGGTTCAGTAGTTTTCCGTCATCTTTATTCTGGAGTGACCTTTTCTCGAAAATCCTATCGCATGCAGATCTGAGGTGCCTCTCACTCTTATTGGCGAACACGCAGGAGAAAAAAATGACAAAAAAAAATGATAATGCCATAATTTAAATATTTATAGATCATCGAGCCATCAAATTATGATAATACGACTGGAGTGGAGCATTGTTCGCGATTAAATCTTCACCGCAAAAAAGTGACAGTTTTAAGCGGAAGCTGTGATGCTCATGGACCAAATTCGCACTCCTTCCAGTTCCAGTATCTTCAATTGTCTCCTGATCCCTCTCATACAAAAACATTTTTTTTTTTTATTTTTCTTTAACTATACCTGATTTGAAAATCTATGGTAAATCGGTCATTATTTGTGTGTGTGTTCAAGTGAGTGATTTTGTTTAATGCGCTTGTAAGATGGCTTTTTTCTTGAAATTAATTTTGTCACCCCCAGTGCTTCTTTTCTTTGTTTTGTGCTTTGTGATTTATTACCTCGTATACGTGCGTCAATTGCAGCGATGGAAACTTTCAAATATCCCGGTGACCCGGCCATTTTTCCTACTGGGCCATAGGCACATGTTTAAAATATTCTCGAATTCGGCAGTGGTTCCTTTAGACTACATCTACCGCGAAAACCCGGATGTGCCCCTAGTGGCATTCTTCCTCACAGTTTCGCCAGTGATTTTGCTCAAAGACCCGTCGTTAATTAGAAAAGTTTACGGCAAAAGTTTCGATAAGATGTTCGCGAACGGGTTCTTCCCGCCGGAGAAGGAAGTGGCGTATCAAAGCATCGTGCCCATCTCATCAGACCGGGATCTGTGGAAAGTCGGGCGAAACTCCTTGGCTGCCTCGTTTTCGACCGCCAAACTGGAGAGCTCGGAATTCGGGAAGTTCAAAAAACAAGTCGACAGGTTGTGGCATCATACGGCCAAGTCGGTCCAGCTCGGAAAGCCAGTGAACGGTAAAGAAGCAGCCCATAATTTCATCGTTGACAGTGTCAATTTGCACACTTTCGGGGTGGACGAAAATTCTTGGGAGGAAAAAGGTTCATTGTATCAGCTCGTTGACAGTGTGTTCGGGTTGACGTACCAAAGACTCGCCAGTTTTTTTGTTTTGACTCTTTTCCCATTTTTACAGGCATTTGACCCTTTGAGGTTTATGCGTCACGATCATATCGATTCAGTTACGAAGTTCGTAACGGAAAAGGTTCAGGAACGGGACCAGCTCGAAATCAGGAACGATGATTATATCGACCGTCTTATGTCTCTTCGTGGCAAAACCGGCTCAGAGGAGGCTGCTCTGACGAATTTAGATACTAATGAAAATCCTGCAGGTAAGTTTAGTATCTTGCAAGTTTTTCCTCTGTCTTTATGGTGGTACTTAGTCGTAAACGTTTGGTAGATTTGTTTTTAAATGTATACAATTTGAGGGTTTTTTTACCCTGATAAAAATTGGCGACAAGAACTGCGTTTCAAAACACCATAGGAATTCTTATAGCCGGCTAATGCTAAAGAAGGCCACAGAAAGTCATATAGCTGGCTGTAGAATGCGGAGAAAATCATACGGCCGGGCTATACGAAGCGATAAAAAATTATGCTGACGGGCTATAGTTCCTATAGCCGGGCTTTACACTTTATCGCCTGGCTGTTGCTTTTTTTCCATTGATTATAAAAGGCTATAGGAAATTGTGTAGAAATTCGTTTGCTTTGGAAATCATTAAGTTTGATACGGAACCACCTTAATATTTACAAAACACACGTTATATTTTCCTTTAATACATATATTTTTTCATCAATTAAAACGAGAATAATCCATACAGGATGTGCAAACATTCCAAAATCATGAGTTGCATAACGCTGACTCCGCCAGATTAAATAATAGAGCCTAACACAAAGCGGAGCGGCGACGCACTGGCGCCTACAAACCTAACAGGGATACTTCACGCATTACGCAACGCGTGAAGTATCCCTGTTAGGTTTGTAGGCGCCAATGCGCGTTTCGCGCTGGCTGCCCGCCTGCCGCACCGCAGCGTGCCACTGCGCTTGAAGCAACTATTTCACACTAGAAGTATTGCACAGTATCATACGAAACTGAAGGCGCTCTAATATATTAGGAATGGCAGGCATCCATCAAAAGTACGGAGCTTTCCTCGCAAAATAAATCAAGATACTACGGCCCAAAAAGAGAGCAGTGGTCCAAAAACTCACTAACAAGGGGAGCTTCCCAAGTGTAACCGGAATTTCGAGTTGAAATTTTGCATGAAGATACTAGAGATGATTTTAGGGATGCCGTGTTTTTTCGTTTTTTCGAATGGGGTCGGGAAAGCCCTCAAAAAAGGGGCTAAAGATGCGGAAAAAACGCGTGCGCTAGCGGCACAAGGTAGACGTAGGTGATAGAGGCTCTCCATCCTTATCATTACCGCATGGCCAAACGGTAGCGCGCTCGCCTCGCAGGCGGAAGGTACTGGGATGGGATCCTGGTTACAGCTCGTAATTTTATTTTACTTTATGCTTGTTTATTTTTCACTTACTTTATTCTGCACCATTCGCTCCGCAAACCGACTTACGAGGTAGAGCACGTAGTGATTGAAGATTTTTTACATGTGCTGATAAAAACTCGAAGTTTCTCTTGGATTGAAACGTTATATATAATTCAATAAACAATAAACATTCTAAAACTCACCAAATTTCGTTGCCAAGCTGAATTTCCGGAGTATCAGTCAGATACAGATACAGATTCGACTGATACTCCGGAAATTCAGCTTGGCAACGAAATTTGGTGAGTTTTAGAATGTTTATTGTTTATTGAATTATATATAACGTTTCAATCCAAGAGAAACTTCGAGTTTTTATCAGGATATGTAAAAAATCTTCAGTCACTACGTGCTCTACCTCGTAAGTCAGTTTGCGGAGCGAATGGTGCAAAATAAAGTAAGTGAAAAATAAACAAGCATAAAGTAAAATAAAATTACGAGCTGTAACCAGGATCCCATCCCAGTACCTTCCGCCTGCGAGGCGAGCGCGCTACCGTTTGGCCATGCGGTACTGATAAGGATGGAGAGCCTCTATCACCTACGTCTACCTTGTGCCGCTAGCGCACGCGTTTTTTCCGCATCTTTAGCCCCTTTTTTGAGGGCTTTCCCGACCCCATTCGAAAAAACGAAAAAACACGGCATCCCTAAAATCATCTCTAGTATCTTCATGCAAAATTTCAACTCGAAATTCCGGTTACACTTGGGAAGCTCCCCTTGTAAGTCCTAGCATCCGTAATTAGTGACGTTGAGCATACACTTTATCGCCTGGCTGTGAGTTGCTTAATCGCCATCGGCTATAAAAGGCTATAAGAAATTGTGTAGCCGGCTATAGAAGCTATTGGAAACCTTACAGCCGGCCGTAGGTCTATGGTATTTTGGAACACAGATTCTACTGCCAATTTTTACCAGGGAAGGATGAAGGAGTTAACTCCTTCACCACTGCTTTAACGATTAAGTTTGTGATTACGCGAGGAAATCGCTTCTGAGGTTTAAGGATGGCATGAGTGCTTAAAGCATCATGCACCTTAAATTTGATATTGAAGGAAAGTTTAGGTTCCATTTTACGCGATTATTACAATCAAAATCGGTTCATTTAAAATAATGATCAAGATCTTAATTTATGAGAGAACTGGGTGCATCATAAAAATGACAACCCAAATAGAGGCAAGTCATAGGAATAAAATTAACAAAACTCTCTTTTTCCTTCGTAATCGATGAGGATGGATAGTAAAGGTCTAAAGTAAAATGTAGGTACATACAGTAAAACCCCAGCTATCTACGGTGACTTGGACCGGACTTATTGCGGATATAATCTGAGATATTTAGATAAGGAGCCTAACTCTTTATCTAAATTGCGCTCATTAACTTTTTTTTTGATAAACTTATCGACTTGATCTGTACGGACTTGCAAGGAGCCTCAGCTCAGCGAGAACGGGGACTCTGGTCGAGAGCCTCGGCTCGACCACAACTCTCTCTCTTGTTGTCTGGACTCTGGACACTTACGATTATTGGAACATGGAACCCCGGACATCTTTGGTGAATCGTCGAAAGACCTTTTTCTTTCTTTCTGATATTTTGTCATTTTAGACGATTTCAATATTTTTTCAAAATTCGTTAATTGCACCTTTTTTCAAAATTTTCTTAAAATTTTCTATTTAAATAATTTGTAAAACGCCAATCTTCTTGTATTTTTTTTTAACTTGAAATAATCCCGATCGTAAAAACCGTAAAAAGCATGAATGTTTGAATTTTTAAATTTTTATTTTTAATCAGTTTTCTGATTCTGCTCTCCCGCTGCTTTTCAGCAGATATAATTGTCCAAATACTTGGATTTCCACTTTAAGGGTGAATTTCAGGGTATTTCGTCAATTATATCTTACAACCGCTCCTCCAGTGATAATACTTGATTCCATGTAAGAGTATAAGTCGTAAAGTTATAAAATACGCCTTATATGGAATCGGGTTTATCTCTGAAGGAAGGATGACCATCCCAATGAGACTTATTTCTCCATTGTAAATGGTGGTCATCACAAATCTGAACTTATAAGAACCGTGGACCTAAGAAGTACCAAGCAAGTCGTTTTTTTTTGCATGAAGTACAGTGGTGTGTGCAATTATCTCAGCAAGACTACGATTAATTTTACAATTTTGGATGCAATCATTTCATGAACATTGTTTTCATTCATTGAGTTTTGAGTTGTTTTTACGCACCTTAGCTATCATGTTTATTTCCTCAAACTGATAAAAAAAAAATGAAAACGTACCTAGCTACTTCATTCAATGTGGAATTTCGAATGTTAGAATTAAGGGGCTTAGAGACAAGGCGCATGAGTACAGCTTTTGAAAAATTTGAGATTTTAATAATTCCAACTATAACTAAGAAAACGACAGCTAAGATAAATTCTGTTAAAAATTCAGCCCCGAATCCCAGTTTTTAGGCATCGATAAGTGAGTTATAGAGCTTTCTTTCAGCTATAAAGGCTCCTCGCAATTTTGAAACCTTAAACACCTCCTCCTCGAAATGGCAAAAACTTCACTTATGTTCCTTTTTCCCAAGTCCCTCTATTCATCGTTTCTCTCACGAACGAACGTAACTGCAATCCAATGTTGCCAGATATCTCGTCGGAAATTGCATGCTTACCAAGGTAATCTCGTATATTTTTGACTGAAAAATTCAATGATTTTTCCTCCGATCTCATGCATAAATCAGAAAAATTTTGAACAAAAATTTCACAAGTACTTTCTTGTAAAAAAATAATTTTTTGTGTCAAGTTGGCAACCTTGGAATGGAGTTACCTTTCTTCGTCCGAGGAACGACGAATTATTGTGAACGTTCGACCTAAGTTGACAAGTATAGCTAAACTGATTTTGATTCATCTTTTAGGGCTTGGTGTCAAAGAAATGGTGGGTCACACCTTGACATGGCTGCTAGCTGGTACAGATACAAGCTCTCAGCTCTGTCTTTTTGCAACTCATTTATTATCGCTGCATCCCGAGTACCAGGACCGGATCAGGGCCGAGGTTAATGGTGTTATGCGGAAGCTCAACACGTCAGAGATTACATTTCAGGTCGTGCACCAACTTCAGCTCACGGAATATTGCCTCTTAGGTAGGTTGTTGGCATGGCCCATCAAGTTTGCTGCATAGATCTAACTTGAACGTCTTGAAAGTCGGGGAGTGCAATGCATGTTCTGATTGAAACTGAATGCGAGATTTTTTTACTTTCTCGCTCCCCTCGCGGGTAAAGGAAGTATTGTCATCGTTCAATAAAAAAAAGAAGAGAGAAAGTTGAAATTTCATCAGTTCTAGGCGTTTTAAGGTACCTGGAGTCAAAATAACCTTACTTGATTTTTTTTTTTTTTTTTTTTTTTTTTTTTTTTTTTTTTTTTTTTTTAGCAAAAGCGCGTTAAAATCTGGAGAAATCAACATGGAGAACTGCAGTATAACAATCGGGAATAACTAGTGCATTTTTTAAATACAGGTGGTTTGTCATGGCTTTGGAGATAATCGATGGAGGTATGATTGTTGCTCGCGAGGGGTGCAGGGTGGGGGGGATTCAGAGATAATTCTGTAGTGTCATTTTGATTCATGCGCAGTCGATATATCAAGGTTGATACGACTACCTATTGTGGCTGCGTTTATCGCCATCATTTTGTCTGCATTTTTATTTCAAATTATAGTTTTGTAAAAATAAACATGGGATTACACTTTTGCGGGGTCCGTTGTGGTGTCAGATAATCGCACCCAGAGATGCTTTTGGTGCCAACTTCTTCAGCGCGTTCTTCACCGCGTTTTGACTCGTTACTTTGAGTATCGCACAGTAGTACAATAGATGAAGTACACATTTTACTTTTACCATTGATACACTCGAATAATTGCAGTTAAATTTTATTATACTAACATCGTCGATAAAGATCGATCTAAAACTTCAATAAATCCAAATCTTGTTTTTTTTTGAGCAATTGAACTTTCAACGCAGTCTTTGTTATCAAAATCAATCTATATATATTTGCACACTAATTGGTAATAAGTGCCATTTATTTAATATTGAATCGAACATATTCTTTTGGTTACATATTATCTCATGGTTTATACTTTTATTCTTTTATACAGAAACGTCACGTTTGTACCCGATTTTACCGGCTTTGATGAGATGTTGTTCAGAGGACTTTCAAATTCCTGGCACAAAGTATGTTCTCCGCAAAGGAGACAGGGTATTCATCCTGCCATATTCAATGCACAGAGACCCGCGCTATTTCAAAGAGCCTGATAGATTCTATCCGGAACGTTTTAGTCCTGAAAATAGACACCTCGCCTGTCTTGATATGTACGTTTCTTTTGGCACTGGGCCTCGGAAATGTCCAGGTAAAAATCCTTCAATCCTCATTCTATTTATCTAGGGTCCGTATTTTACATTATAAACCATCAATATGAATGCAAGCCTCTTGAAAATACATTAGACTGCTGGCATTGGCATCAAGTTGAAAAACGCTGACTCCGCGAGGTAAACTAATCACGCCAAACACAGTGCGGCACGGAACGCATATTAGCGCCTACAAGACTGCGTGAATACTTCACGCATTGCGCGTTCACTACGGTGCACGATTTGGACCGCGTTTTGCAGAAAGAAACCGAGCCATAACAGCTACATATTGCCTTTAACTGAGCAATTTAATTTTTCACAAGAGAACGTTTTTGCGGATTCTTTAGAAAATTTTAAGGAATTTGCGTCGTACTGTACAGGAAATTCACTAAAATGTTTACAAAAATCCGCACAACCGTTTTCATGTAAAAAATTAAATTGCCTAGTTAAATGGCAATAGCTGATGTGGTTTGGTTCTTTTCTGCAGCTTAACGCGGTTCAAGGAAAGCCTCAATAGCCATAAGACCCCCCCCCAAAAAAAAAAAAAAAAAAAAAAAAAAAAATATTAAACGGGGATGGTAGAATAATGATCGTGGCAAAATTCTTTCTAATGCCTTTTCCACGACGCCAAGATGCATATACCGAAATATTTTATGCTGCAACTCTCTTAACCTCTCGTATAGTTGTTTATCTCTCCTGAAAAATATAATGGGCCTGTTGCATGCAAGAGATACAGCCGTGCGAATAGACTTTTAAGAGGTTAAATTACATGAAAATTACGATGGTTACATTAAAAAAGTCTGAAATACACTCCTTACTGCGCAATTTGCGTTGTTAGGAGCGCGCTTTTTCAAATTTCCCGCGTCGGGGGGCAGTTTTCTTACGGAAACAATTAACGGCAACTCGCGACTATTTCCGGTCAACTAAAACTGACAACATAACCTAAAAATCGGAGCTCGTGATATCGTGAAATGAAATGTAGAAGGATTGCGTTGGATATTTAAAAGTTGATCGATTTGGTGACCGCATAAAGCGTATATGGACCACTATAAGAGATCACGTTGGGTTTGTGAACAAACTGAAGGAAAAAATAACAACAACAACAACGACTCGGCATCTTCAGGAAATCACCGAGCCCGCCGTTTTCTCGTTTCCGGTGATTAGAAAACTGTCCCCAGACGCGGGAAATTTGAAAAAGCGCGTTCCTAACAACGCAAATTGCGCAGTAAGGAGTGTATTTCAGACTTTTTTAATGTGACCATCGTAATTTTCGTGTCATTCAACTTCTATAAGGTCTATTCGCGCGGCTGTATCTCTTGCATGCAACAGGCCCATTGCATGCCCTTGAAATATATATGCTACGTGCTTTTTTTCCTAACAGCCATTAATGTAGTGTTCGATACATTTTTCCTCCTGCGAGCGGAAAAAAATAATTCATCCCACCTATTCATGCATTTTTCCTTGTTGTTGCACGGAACAGGTTACAAGATCGGCGTATCATTAGCAGCTCTATTCATCGCATCACTTCTGCACAAATACCAAATTAGACCACGATCACACTTGAAGCAGATGGACGCTACAGATTTTGATCCTCGAGGTTTCACTGCTCAACATAGTGGACAGTTTTTAGTCGATCTAGTGCCAATTGAATCTCCTGCTTAAAAGTGACAGTTGAGAACACTTCACTAGATGGTAGCAGTTTCGTTCATTTTGACAGAGAAAAAAAGATGGTGAAGCGCGAGGCGGAGGCGTGCACACTTAGTGCATTAATGTCTAAGTGGACTTGTCTGCCCCCCTTCCCATAAGCTTGGAAGTATTCATTTCTTGCAAAAGATTCAATTCAATTTAAATGCACTGACATGGATCGAGGACAGATTATTTATTTTCGTAAAGAGTCTCAGATAGTTCACAACGACATTTTTCTTTTTTCAATGATAGTTCATCACTTCAGTCCCTAAAATAAGACACACAAGTTAAGCACTGTAAAACTTTTTCTTTTCTTACAAATTGTTTACATGGGTCTGAATAGAAAAAACATGTAAAAACGCGAAGATCTAGGTACGTCGTAAGTTTAAAATCTGCCAAGACATTTTTCCCAACTTTTCAGGGCTTCCAGAGCCTCTTTTGCAGCTTGACCAATGCTTCCTTCGTGTGTGCTCAACGGTTCATTTTGCAGACATTTGCAAGAGGATACAAGTAGAGATTTGACCTTTTTCAACTGATTTCTCATCGCATCTTTAGACATGTTTGAACTTTGGAAATCCCTGGTCGCCAGCACCATCAGCGGAGCGTGCAGCTCGTACATCACGGTACCTAAAAATTATAAAATAATTTATTACTTTGAATTTGAGAGTTTCCCTCGATGTTAAAGATTAGAGTCAAAAAATGGAGAGAATATACTTGTATATCTTGTCAACACAAGAAGATTGTGGTTGTGAATCAAAGTCTCAAAAAGAGGTAATAAATTACATGTGAAATAGTGATCTTGGAATAGTGATCTATTTGTGGAACTGTTTATCAAATAACGATTGGAAGGTGCTCAAACACGTGAAGAGATTGTGTGCGCAGTGCGGGATAAGGGAAGTGAGAGCGCCCTCTTTTTATTGGTATGCAACCCGCATGGTTATTAATCACGAATAGTTGCATCAAAACCATGTAATTGATGGCTGAAGTCGGAAAATGCGCATTTCCGATGCAACGTCTCAAAATCTTTGATCGTTTAACGTATTGTATTATTTCTGAACAAAAAACTAACCAGAACTTTTGCTTGAGACTCTCAGTGAATATTTCTGAAATAGTAAGAAAAATTTGAAGAAAAAGGAATTCGGTGGCTAAAGTTTACAAATTTGCATCATTAATGCAACGCTTGAAAATCTTCGATTTTCTTAAATACTGTGAAGTAAATTCAACCTTTATGTATGTATTTGTAAAATTTCCTATTTATATTGTGTATTAAAAGAGAAAACTAAAAATACAAAATACAAAAGTAATATATTGCAGTTTCTGAAATGTCTAAGATAAGTCCCTCCTTACCTAAATATTTGTCAAAATCACAGAATTTCCTTTTGTATTTTATATCTTTAGCAGAGAAACCATTGTAATTCCTTGTAAGAGTAAATTTCCAAAATTAAGCTGTTGAATTTCCTCCAAGTCTCACGAAAATAGAATTTTTCATGATGCTGCGTTAAAGCTGTTCTTCAACCTCCCTTAATTTTATGGAAACCGAATAAAATCTCCCTAGGCAAAGGAGCTGTGCATAGAACGACCATAAATACGGCTAATGGCTTACTACACACCCCCCCATTCAAAACTTTGATGGTGATATAAAATAAAGAAACTCTTATACAAAATTAGACCAGTAAATAATGAGAACGCACCTCTTAGAACCGAAAGTCCTGGACTAACGATATCCGCTACTTGCAATACTTCTTCGCAAAGTGATATCTTCCTGCGCAGTTGCTCCGTCGATAGCTCATGTATCATAAAATCCTCAATCTTCCCGTAAAGTTGACAGAGTGAGTATTTAGCTCCGATCATCAGATAATGGCTGGAGCTCAAAAAATGTTCGTACTTCTTCAAAAACTCCTCGTAGCCTTGTATATCACAGCCATTGATTGATTCGACTTCCTCATATAACCTAAATTATTATACAAACATTTGAAAATAAAAATGTCTGTCGAATTTTCATTTTCATTTTAATTTACAGTGTTTAGTTTGAAAAAAAATGAAGGCTCCGAAATTTACACGCCTCATTTTAATTTCGAAGTCATCGATTTGACGGTATCAACCAGATTCAGCCTAATTACGTCAAATGTTGCCTAAATTCCCCTAATACTTTATTTATTTTTTTTTACTGAAAAAAAAAAACAAATTTTTGACATGGCATTTTGAAAGTTTATCATGTATGATGAAGGGGATACGCATAAAGAGCTTCAAGGCTTACGAGTATGTTGTTCAGCTTTTTATAAATAAATTAAACACGAAAGAAGACTAACAATAAGCTTGTAATTCAGATTGGCTAATTTTGACTCAATCATTATTCTGAACAGCAGGGCCGGATTAAGGGGGTGGCCACATGGGCCGTGGCCCATGGCGGCAAATTTTGCAATTTTTTTGAATGTAGGTATAAAAAAAATCAGGTTCTGAAAAAAAAATTATCAATGAGAAAAGGGGACAAAATTTCTCTTTTCTGAGAGTATATAGTAATTTCTAATTTTGTCGTTTTTCGGTGATAGAAGAGACAGCATCTTTAATTAGTCGAGTTAAGAGAGGAACTAAAAACGCAAATTGGCCAGGAGCTTAGCGCAGAGAGGAATGATGGCGAGGACTTGAGATGAAAAGGACAAGCCCTCGGCGCGGCGGTCGGTATGTAACATATATTAGCGCCTACAAGACTGCATGAATACTTCACCCATTGCGCCAAACACAGTGCGATCAGCCCGGCGTAGCGGCGGAAGTTAAAATTATTTTACCACATTTATGTTTGTTCTTTCATCATTTTTTTGTTCATATCTTATAAATGGAGAAGCAAAGCTCCGTGAAATTTTGCTAGTAGTATTGACAGGGCTCTCGCAAAAAATGTATTCAACACGAGTAGGTAAACGCGTCTTATGCACCCCTCCCCCTCTAGCACGTTCACTTGATGGTTTTTATTGATGTTCCAAAACGAATGAGAAGGGGGCGGCAAGTAGGTAAATCCGGCCCTGCTGAACAGGAGAAAGTTGAACGCAAATAGACTCATCTACGTACCTATCCATCAGTATTTTCATTTTCTGTCCCGATTTGGAGTAAGCATCACAGCTTTGGTTGAAGCACTTCCAATCTGCCTCAAGGTTGGTTGGATTCGTGGAAAGTAATGTGCTCTTCCTGCATATGGGGCATATTAAGGTACTCAAGTTTGATCCACATTCCAGTGGGTCTTTGCATCGGTTGCAAATGCAATGGAAAAATTTCGACTCTCTCAAGTGGTCTTGTCTCCTCATTGTACCCTGAAAATGCACCAATGTATAATAATTCCAAAAACAGTGATTAGGCACTCCAAAACAAAGTAAATGTAATGTACAAACTTCGAATGAAATGCAGAGTGCGGATAGAGGTACAGTACATCGACGGTGTAGGTCGGCAATCACATAACACGGTTTGCGACGTCGCAGACTTCCTGTCATACTTTATTTTTTCAACGGAAAACTACTCGACGGCAATTCTGTAAAACTGCCGTGATTTTTCTTCTCTGTGCGAGGAAAATGGAGATGTTGTATGTGTGAGGGATTTGCGTTTTGACTATTGCTTCTTATGTAAAAGTTCGAAACACGATGGTGTCACTGATTTCCTCTGAAATCAACTCCCAAGCTCAAAAGACGCTCTCAAAGTTGAGGCCAAAATGGAGGGGATATCCCGCACGCTATCCTGAGAGTCCACCTCTACATCAAGACAAACTCTCCATGCAAGGATAGAGAGCAAATACATTAGCAGGGTCGCCGTGTTTCCAGTTTTAGAGCCCCAAAATAAAGTGGCAGCCCTGTCAATGTATTTGCTCCTTATCTTTGCATGGGGGGTTTTTCTTGAGGTAGAGGTGGACTCGCAGGATAGGGTGGGATATCCCTTTCAATACGCCCTCAACTTTGAAAGCTTTTTTTGAGCTTGGGAGATGATTTCAGGGAAAACCAGCGGCACTATCGTGTTTCTCGCGAACTTTTACATGAAAACCAATAGTCAAATCGCAAATTCCTCACACATGCAACATCTGCATTCTGCAAAAACTCCAAGGAATGATGTCAATTTGTTCTCCTTTAAAAAAATAACATACAGGCGGAGATTTTCAGATACTGCAAACGAGATATGCGATTGCGGACTTCCGCCGTCGATATACGTTTTTAGATGGTAAGAATATGGGCGCAATTTTGGGTTCCCGTTTGTGTTTCTTGACACAATAAAATTTCGAAATTCTAACGGTTAATACGCAAGTTTTGGAATTGTGTTCTGGCAGTGCAGTCAGTTTTCACGTTCCAGGCACTTCCCAATCAGTCATTTAATTTTGCTCTATGAAGGGATATTATTAAAACTCGCTAATAGCGGTCTAAATCAAATTCGCAATGGGGACTAATCACCCTTAAGGGCACAGCGCAGCGGGCGGGAGCCTCCTAGTTGGTCGCAAAGGCTCTGATTATTGAATTAGCTAATCAGTGATATATCTCGTGAAATTTTACTGATTTTTGGATAATTATGTTAAATTGCAATATGTGGTTATCCATGGACACCTCACCTGCAAAACATAAGCATAACTAGTCTGTAGGATCTCTCCAGAGCGCACAGGAATTGTTGTCCGCATTTCGAACAGAAACTGATCATTGTTATAGTGGGACGTATTCGGGATGCAGTCGTGTGCTAATAAAAATGCCTCTGGGTAAAGACCCCTTATACCGTGGTCTCCAACTGTTATTTCGAACGCATTGACCTGAAAGAAACAAAATTATATAAAAAAAAAAAAATCTCTTTGAAGACAGACAAACGAAGTAAAAATATTAAGGATTTATCCTCTGTAATCGAGAGCATCATTTCCCTTCGATTCATTCGTCAGATAGGACGTGGAACGTGAGGACTAAATTACGTAAAAAAGAGCTTATTTGTTGGCTCCTATACACTGCCGTGCTAAGGAAAAACGCCGTATGAAAATTCGAAAGTTTCAAAATTTCCCTTAATAAAACATGTTTTTTTGACGAAGTGTATGCATATTTTTCCTTAAAATTTTCTGATATTTTAGATGGAATTACGAACAAAATTATCTGAAAATTCTGTTGAAAAATATTCATAATTTATCCAGTAAATTCGGTTTTTATCGAAGTAAATTTGGCAACGTCTGAAGGCTCATACGGAATTTGTTCTCAACACGGCAATACAGATAAACACGTATACAAGGAAACTGGGCACATACGTCATATCTGAGATGTGCCCAAAAATCATTCTTTTTTGTGAGGTGAAATTTAGCTATATTTACAAATTTGCTACGTACTACTAATTAAACATAGAATTGTTGCGCGATGTTAATGGAGACACTAAATGACGCTTTAGAGTGTAATGCAGTGTACGAACAATTCTGGAAATTGCGGATGTGATAGCAGAATTTCCAAGGGAGTAAATGGCAACTGATCAGATATTTTCTTGATAGTGGTTTCAAGAACTCCGCAATATTTTTGACAATTTCAGAAAATGTATCTATTCTAGGAACATTTTTTTGTTTAACACTCCCTGAGCTCCTCTTGAAGTGTTGTAATTACAGGCATCTACAATATGCAGAAATGTTATTTTACTCACGTACCTCCAGTATGCCGCATATTCTGTGTATTTCTTCCTCGGTGAAAACTGATTTTTCCTGTGCTTTAAGGATTTTCTCAACTATTGTCTTTTGGTTGGTTTGCCAAATAATCGGCACGTTTTTCCGAATTTCGTCGTGTGATTCCATTGACAGCACATCATCCCACTTTTCTGGGGTTTGTGTCTTTAAAAGGAGACATCTGAGTGGCACGATGACATTCAGGGCTGTCTTGCTTTGAGTGTAAGGTACGTTCCTTAAAAAATCACATTCTTCTCTACTATGACCGTATTTTTCCCTGTAGCCTTTACATTTCTTATCACATACAGGCCATTGGCACTTATCACATCTGAAATAAGACAAAAGCTGAATAATTAAAAGAAATCTCTTTGATATCTTCCTTAATTTGTTTATTGATTCATTAAATTAGCTTTATTTTTGTTTTATTTTGAATGGGGAATTGTAACCTATGTAATCTTCGAAGACTATAATGCAGTTAAAAAAGAGCGCTTCAAATCTGCATTCAAGCCACGCTGACATATAAGCATCAGCACACACAACTTCCTCTTGTTCTAAAAATGACAATGGAAATTCATAATTCTATAATTATTTAAACAATATTTAATAAAGTTTGGCCAAATATTTTGGAGCTGAAAAAAATCCGAGTATGTCAAACTCTAATTGCTCTATTAGAGCTTGCATGTGTGCGAACACCGAGACCTTCACATGGAAAGTTCTCATCCCATCTCTCCCTCACACAATGTATGTATTAACCCTCTCTTTAACTTAGAACGTGAAACGCTGAATGTCTTAAAATTATACTAACAAATTAATTCAGAGCATCATAGTGATAGTTAGCGCTGTACTGTCTTGATGAAATTCATACAGAATAAACAGGGCATCACCTTTGTTTGGAAGTAGATTGATCGAGATCGACATAACAGCCGAGACAAATTTCACGGCTATCCAGGCTAGGTCCTACGACAAAAGGCTCTACTGACATCAGGATTTCTCCTGCGGGAATGTTTTTGGAGGCCACCAAGTACCTGAAGAAGGCAAATGAAAACAGAACGTGTGAATGCAAATATATATTAACTAGTAATTTTTTAGCCAGTATACAAAAGATTCGTCCATTCTCTTCCATTCTCACTTTTTAGGGCAGGAATAAACAGAACGCCTTCAAATGTACGGTTGTCCTAAGTTTCACATCGACCGAGTTTGATCGAAAGGAACCAAGCCACACCAAGGTTGAATTGAGAAAGACAGGATACCGCCAAAAGATTTAATGCGAGAGATACATAAACACAACATAATTGATATCTGTTATTGCCAGTGGCGATTTTGCAAGTTGGCAACATGTTTTTCCTCCATTTAAATCCATTGAAAAATCGATTTTAGATGACGCTAGTTGCCTACCCAAGAATCGATTGTTTTTCATACATCTAAATGGATGGAAAACAGAGTTGCCAACAATCAAGAATCGCTACTGAAACAATGTGAAAGTTTGATTTTTTCCTTCTACAATTTTTCTTCAGTTTGCATAATATTTAAGTGCTGTTTTATTAGTACAGCACTTAAATATTTTTAAATACAATCCCGTATACCTCTAATACATACTAACATTATAGTACTAACATTACGCATCCTCCTTAAAGTCGCTTTGACGAAGCATTTTTCGGACAAAATTGTCATTTTCCAACCAATGAAATCGACTCACGATGCATCGGCATTTACTTTCGAAGCGCCCTGTATATTTTGGCGCTAAAATTTCAGGCGCCCAACGCCTGGTCATCGTTAACGGAGCGACGCTTGAAAGATTATACGACCGATCGCGGGGGATGTAGGTCAGACATCAAACCTCAAATTCCGAGCATTAAATGATGCTATGATCCCCGATCTCCCGGATTATTAATTCTTCACCTCGACAAAAATGCCGCTCCGTTATTTTTAAACTGCCGCCCCGGCGCTAGTATTTACAAATATTTACTCATGCTGTCATACTACGCGGAATCGACCACCGCTAATCCTGGCCTCTCGAGGCGTTCAAAAAATTTAATTTCTTCACTGTGACCGGTCACGGGGCGGGGAAAGGTTAGGGACTGTTGGAAAAAAAATGGCATCTACGTAACAGCTGCTTATCGAGGGTTAAGGAACAATATCAACTTACTGACAATTTTGGCGAAAATTAGTCGGCGATACTTAGCCGCATTCTTCAGTATCAAATACGCAAGTCGATGTTTTTATTTTTTCCTTCAATTTCGCATGGTAGCGCTGTACATACGATGTACTGTATAAAGAAATTGCAAATTTAACCGCCAAAATTACAAAAATAGCCACGTTTCTTCTTTGTCCTGCAAAATTGTGTGTTTGCAGGTAAGCAGAATGGACCACTAGACAAGGTACGAATTTAAGCATTCTGATACATGTATCTTAACCAGAATTTCACGTAGAATACGATTCGCGCAACGAAAATTACTGAAACCAACTCCTAACGGAGATATTAACATTTTTATTTCACATTGGTTACGAGGAATTTGAACTGCCCGCTCACGAGGAACTCAAAGCTCTACGTTAGTCAAAGCGCGCACTACAACGGTTTCAGCAAGCTTCTCAATCGAGCAATGTTCATTTCCCACCATGTGTTTTTCAAACTATAAGTAATTTGCTATAGCTGAGCCAAAGCGTCAAGATTGAGGTTGCCAGATTTTTTTATCGCAGGGATGTTCATGATAACGTTTAGCGCGCGATGTGAATCATACGTAGAGCATTGAGTTTTCATAAGCGGGTGGTTTCAATTCACGCACTGAGAATCATTGAATATCTTCGGGAGGAGTTAATTTCGGTGATTTTCGTTGTGCGCATCGTGCTTTACGAGAAATTTTGGTGGAGAAACATGTATCGGAATGCTGAAATTCCTACCTTGTCTAGTGGTCCATTGCTCCTTAGCCATCGATCCTTTTTGATGACTAATGAATTATTAATATATCGATGGTGAAACTACCATACCACGTATCTCGATTTTTGTCGGTTTTGAGTTAGCTGCATAAATGAGTTGTAGGAGATGTCCTTTATCTGCCACCAAAATATTTTTGTCGAATAAAATCAGGAAGTTATCCAAAACCGTAGTTCAAATATCACATATCTCAGCGCTAATTCGCAATTCACATATCTCGCGTATCTCGCGCCGGCGGGAAGTTATTGCGTACACACGGCGCGCTCTACAGTACGAAGTACCGAGGCGGATAAAGAATGGTGGTCGTGTTTCGTACCCTCTTGACATCACTCGGCATCGGGTACGTTTCTGGAACATCCTGAATGCATGGCAAAGCATGTCGGCGCAGAGTGGATCGAGTCAATAAGAGAGGTCGGATATTAAATTTTTGACCAAAACTGCAAATTTTGATGTTTATTTTCTCACATTTTAAATCTCAACGGGTGATTTTAGAAGAAAATTTTACGAGGAAACCAATGAAACCACTTATAGATCTTAAAATTTTGGTATAAACGGAGTTATAAGCGTTTAAAGTCCAAATTTTGTCTGACCTCTCCTACTATCTCGATCCACTGTGCCGCAGTGAAACTACCGGACCCCGTATCTCGGTTTGCAACGTCGCAGACGCCCTGTCATACTATATTTTTTAAATGAAAACCTCTCAACATCAATTCTTGAAATCTTCTGTGATTTTTCTTCTTTGAGTGACGAAGAATCTGTGAATACTTCAAGGAATGATATATTGGCTGGTTTTCATTTGCAAAAATAAAATGGGAGCATTGATTTTTAAACACCGCAAACAAGATACGTGGTCTGGTAGTTTCACCGTCGATACGCTTTTATTAGAAGGCGACTCATCCACCGGGAAAGGAAATTCACCTTCTTTATTAGAAGTGTTAAGGTATTCAAGAAAGTATGAAGTAGTAGTAGTAGTAGTATCCTACTTCTTGCGGTACGGGTCGTATCAGTCTTTCAATTTTATGCTATGCAACGATTCTGAGTCTGTCATGCCGTTTAATAGTATTTTAATTAATAAACATACGATGATTGGTCCAGTTGTAGGATCAACAGAAGCTTTCAGTGCATGAATAGAAGTACACTGTTCAAAATGACTATTCGCTAAGCCTTAAATCGATCAAAATCTTCAAATAAGAGGCTCAATACCTCAATTCAAAATTCACATATCTCGATGTAATAGTGTCAATTCCTACTTCGCAAAACACATAACTCGGTTTTTCCTCCGTATTTCATCATGGTTGCGACTATTTTCAAAAATGCTCAAGGCGTGATGAAAAGCATCTTATCATCTCTATCTCCAAGAATTATTACCTTTTAATTATCAAAAATAAGGAACGCAGACAGTTTTTTTGCTCTCCTGAAAAATCGAGTTTTCCGAGATACGTGGTATGGTAGTTTCACCATCGATATGTATATCAGTCAATCAATAAATATTGTAGGACGTGCTTCATAATTAATAAATTAAGTTGTTTCTCATTTCTTTTTGATGGCACTGAAACCTCGCGTACCAGAATATCTGATCAATAGTCATGCGTAGGTTATATGTTTCAAAGTTTTTCGCACAGTCCACGCCCGGTGCGATATCGAGTATGGCAGAAGTAGGTCTGCGTCTCCTATCAATAAATCTAATTTGAGTTCCTACTTTGATCATAAAACGCGAGGAATAATTTCAATGAACCCTTGCCATGGCAATTTGATTAAGAGTGTTAGCGGCAAAATGTGCATATACACGAGAAAGTCCATTCAAGCCGAGTACTGAGTTGGAGGGAAGGAGGAAGAAATAAATTCTGAGTTTGCTCACCGACCCATCACTTCAGACGTCTTGATTGTATAGCATTTTTCGATGTTTCGTGACGCAGAACCCTCCTCCTCTTCTTGAAGGGCCTCCGTGGAGCATCTTGAGTCTTCTCTCTGTACTCCTTTCCGTCGATTTCGGTTTTTCTGAAAATAGGAAGATGGAACTTGATAGTTGGTAAAAAAATATTCTTAGGACAGTATCATCCGGCAAGAATTAAGCTGTGAATTTCACGGTGTGAAATGTAAAAAAGGAGAAGAAAGAACAGAACAATTTTTCTTTTACTTGGTATGCGTCCATTCATGAGGAAGTGACTTAGAGTCAAGTTTAAACTGAGTTTAATCAAATAAAGAGGGAAGCATCACGTTTTAACAGAGGAAAATGGTTTTTGAAGTTTATTATGTCGCCATAAGACTCAATGTCGAAAACAAATTCTACTCCCTTTTTACTTTCCACGCGTTATTTCTTGACTTTGAATTTTTGACGGGAGAAAATAAATGATGTCAAGCTTGAAACCAGTTCCGCCGACCATTCATCCCCCATTTCCCCCAACAATTTGACTTTTTTCCTTTTTGTTCAATTCGATCCATTATCCTCTGATACTCCGATGGGGGGGGGGATGTAATACCCGAAGCATCATATTTAGTGTAAAGCTTCAGTCTTAATTTTTTTGGAAGTGTGACCAATCACAAGAATAAGGTAATTATATGTACACGGAAGAAGGTTTTTTTTTTCTTTCTTTCTTTCTTTTTTTTTTTGGAGAATAGCACTGAAATTTAAAAACTGAAATTTTGGGCACATAGGGCCATCATCCGGCGGACATAAGACACATAATGCATATTAATAATATGACCGGAATGATTATCAATTAGGGCTTTTAAGTCCGAAGAATCATCAATTTTTGATCATGTCACCGCCAGAAAAAATATGTTACTTAACTTCAACAACAGTAGAATAACATCATACTAAAAAAATGTAACACTAATAACAAAGTGAAATGTATGAAAGTAATTTAATGTAGAGTGTCATTTTTTGAAAACAGCCATACTTGCGTTTGAATTCTCAACGGTAAGGTTTAACTTTAAAGCTTTATTAAGCTAACTTTCATGCGCCTTTCGGGAGAAGAGCAGCACGAAATACTGAACTTGGACTGAAATCGCTATAAATACGTCAGTCAAGCCGCAAACGGGAAACCGCGAGGATGGCTCTTGAACTTGAGGTGACGCATTGGGCAAGCATCATGCGTAAAGATTTGTTTACATTTATTTATAAATGCTCGAGTTTTGCTCTTGCATTCGATTCCCTTGGCCGGAATTCAAGATTTAGGACAAAATTTCATTGTGAATCTTCTGCAATTCGTTCAAAACGGGAAGTTCAATGCAGGACACAGGCTTCACGGCTGGTTGTATTCCGCTTAATTATACTGCATTTTGCAATTCGGAACTATAATTATTGATTTCTGGCTCAGTTTAGAAACAACGCATGTACCATAAGTTTCCTCGTGCACATACGTGTTTTTACAGGTAAGCCGAAAATTATAGTTCCGAATTGCAAAATGTAGTCCAATTAGCTCGATAACTCCAGAAAGTAAAACAATGGTTAGTGCATGAAGATGAGGGTTGTTTTTTAAGGCATGACACCGCGAACCACAAGCGAACGAAAAAAGGGTCATTAGAGCCACAAAACTCAAAATTGAGCTATTGATACTATCTTTTACAGAAGTGTTTTACGAACATTCAGGTACAAAAAATAAACCCCTGCACATCAGAAACATTCAATATGCAACACATGCGAATCTCATTTGCAACGTTTAAAAATCTCCGTTTTTTTTCATTTCCCTCAGGGAAAACCGGTCGAAAATCTGTCCTGCAGTTTTGTGTGATTTTTTTGGAGTGATTAGAGAAAATCCCCAAGCAATTTCATTATAGAAACTATTGATTAATTTTCCCTCCAAAGGGAAAATGAGAAACGAGCGGAAATTTTGCAACGCCGCAATCAGAACTACGCATTTATCAATTCAGCCATCCATATGTATATAAAACCGCGGAGTTGTTTAACTTTTTTGATCAGTAATAATGTACCTACCTAGCACTTAAACATTAAATTCTTATGTGCCGAATTTTCTCTATACACATTAACGTGAAATTCTATCTATTATAAACAATGCGGAGATCATAGCTCGCCCATAGAAGACATCGTCCTTCCTTGCTGGCCGCTGGTCAAATGGCACGAGGCAGACTCATATAGTCAGTGCACCGCGGTTGTACTCGGCATGTCGTCATTAAGGTACACAACTTCCGACTTCTTGTTTTTTCACTCCAAGACAGAACGATTTGTTCCACTCGGAACAAACTCGAAGCCTGGAGCGATTTTTGGCGTTTATATTTTGCTGGTCACTTTCAATCAGGTCAAGTCCACCGTGCAGGGTCGACGAGATGAAGTAGGATGGTAGTTTCTCGACCAAATTGCAGCGGACAGCAATTCCGTTCAGTGGCATGGCGTGCTTTGCGATGTATCGATTGCTATGCCACTTAAACGTATGAAAAAGGATCGATGAACAGGGTGTTCGCAGCGAACACCTTAATAATCGATTCTTTACCATAGGTTTAAATGGCAGAACAATCGATACATCGCAATTCACGCCACGCCACTGATTCCGTTTCCCGCCTTCGTGATGGCGATACTCATGCATTATTCATTAACTCTCATCATCATACGAGGTGATCAAAAAGTCTCGTACTGCCCCTTATATACCTTAGGGTTCTTGCCTTATTTCAGGGAAGTCTTCATATAAATATTGGGTGGAGGGGTCCCATAAGTAGTTTGCTTTAACCTAAAATCACCCCAAAAAATGTCGAGCCTCTGTATCTCAATTTTTTCAAAAGTTACAGATGTGCTGATGATGTGGGACTTTTGGATCACCCTGTATAGCCAACAATAAACCCATGCTTGACCTTTTAACGCGACAAAAAAGAAGGCTTTTCGATAACTCGTGTAGGTAATTTAGAAGATTATTTTAGATTGGCGCGGTACTCTCATCCGTGTAGCGTAGCCCCCTCTAAAGTTTTGGAAAACCAATGATATTTAATGGTTCGCTTCGCAATTTTGTGTAACAAATTGAATGGATTTAACCAGAATCAAATCCACAGCATTTCACGTTGCCAAGTTTCTTCTCATGCTCATTTTTAAGCAATGATCAAGCAATCACTCAGAAATTTCTTAGTGTCTACTGTTGTCAGAGTAAATTAAATACTTCTTCGTTTTACGTCTCATTAATCTGCATTAATGCCGAAAAAAGCGCAAAATTGAAATGATAAGAATCCTGAAAATTTTCTCAGGAAATCTCCGTACATTGCGCACGGAGAGACACATCGACATAGTTTGGCAATTATGGAGGCCTTCGGATGAAAATCTGACAAAACACCTTGTTTCATTTTTCCTCGAATCACCAAAGAGGAATAGACTTTGTAATTACTCGGGTAACGTATTGGCCACTGAAGTGCATGTAAATTAGGCGACCTCTAAGACAAGACAGCGTCTCCAATTTTTGGAAAATTCTACACAATTTATCTTACAATTTATCTTTTGAATTATAGAATAAGCGGAGACACAAGCGAATTAGAAGTTAAATAGTTGATCCATTGGCAAGCAAAAAGTGCCAAGAGCAAACGGTTAATATTAAGTATGGAGAATAATTCTAAATATGATTTTTCAATTATTAAAATTCGAGAAAAAAATGTCTCGTTGGTTTTCAAAATAATACAACATAGGTAAATCAACGAGCACACACGGAAATAAAAGAATGTCATTATTTTTACCACATGTTTGGCTGTATTCAATGACTACGATATCTGTAAAACCATAAAATAATTGTCTTCTAGCATTGACTGTGCGTCAAGTAAATTTCACCAGATGCATTGTTTAACATTAGTGAGCGTGTAGTAATAACTCTCAGATCTCGAGGAGAGAAAATACCGTCAAGAATACTTTTCTTTTATGTCCATGCACGTTTTTATTTTTTTTTTTTGACACGAAAAACAACGATGAACAATGATATGAAAACAACTCGACAATTTGATTCAATATATACAGAAAATGAAGATTAAACGCTTGAGAGATGCCAGATAAGAGTGTTTGGACCATGTTGATCCTTGGCAACAAGAGAAGGGGAAAAAAGAAATTAGTGCTGAATAGTGCATTTTTGCGCCTTAATTGGCAACAACGGCCGTGAAGCTTTGGCACCCTGGGACTCCCAGCGCCAAGTGCAGATAAATTCACGGGACGATACATGTTTTATTGGGATATTATTGTAAGTTTTGAATGTCTGCCAGCCACTTATTATAGGAGCGATCATTTCGTAAAAGAAGGCGCCTCCATGGCGGTTCTCCAAAGTCAAATGTTACGGCTCCCGTCGAGATGGAAATCTGACACGATCCCTCTACCTAATTGTTGGACCGCTAATTTGCCAACACTTGCGCTGCCAACGATGAACAAGTTCCACGTCGAAGGGAAACACGTAGTGAAGTAACATACTCAGTGTACTTTTTTTGGATTTACTCAGATCAGGGAAATATCTTTCGGAAGGAGGGGTGCCCCTCTGACCCCTCCGGAAAAGTTGTGACTGTATCTGAACGCGTTGTTCCTGGAAGAGAACAAATCTAAATAATTGAAAAGTGACGTTTTCGCATATTTATCCTTTAACACGGGTGTTTGTAATGTTGTCGAAAAGTAGTCTTGATATATTCAAGGAAGAAGGACAGCGACTACTTCCAGCGCTTATCCTGCAATTAAATATACTTGTTAAGAAAAAACAGTAGTGTGGTCGTGGCTAGAGAATCCAGGATCCTAACCCTCATGAATCAAAAATACTTCCCAGAGCCGAAAAGGAAGAGAAAAAAACGTGGATGATTTCTCTAAATGTCCAGAAAATTGGGGAGAGTCACGCCAACTTGACCCATAATGAATATTGTTTGCTCATGAAATTCTCATCCCCCCTCTTCCCGCCCACTTTACCATATACTAAGCTCTTGTTACGCTGTTGGTTGGCGGAATTTGTACTTAAAACTAAAGCGCATTTCTTGCTTCACGTCGAGGTCTGTAAGCTCTGTCACAGGTGATCTTACTTGGCACAAGTTTTTGACAGTTTCCCCCGAAGTTGACGTTTCATGCATACAGAAATTTCAAGTTCACGCCTTCATCTTATTCATGGCCATTCACACACATGCACGTGAACAGCGAGCATTCTCTTATGCTCTGCGAGCAATGGGTTATTGGGTCAGTTGCTCTTAAAAAGAGTCTTTTAACAATAGATAGTTCGTAGTAAATGGCTTCTCCTAAACGCATATAATTTATAAGTTATGAACGAAGCGAACATTGAATGTTTGATCAAACTCTGTTTGATGCGCTCAATAGAGAGAAAACCATGGTGCTTTGCATCAGCGCCAAGTTTAGTAAAATCTGTTACATTTTTTGACTTGGAACTCCATATACTATCCGTCAGAAAAAATCATTTGGGAATTTAAAATTAAATTAAACATGTAAATGAGTATACGATTATAATGACGAGAATCCCAAAAAATTCCAGATTTTTTGGCGATTTTTAGTTACATACATGCATACATACATACATACATACATACATACATACCAAGCCGCTACCTCAGCGCACTAGAGCGCTCTGCGACTCCAAATCGCCATCGGAATCGATCCTCCCACAAATCATCGGGCAGATTACACCGTCTGATCTCCCCCTCCACTCCCTCTCGCCAACCTTTTACTGGACGTCCACGCCGCCTTCTTCCGGGAGGAACCCAATCAAATACCTTTCTGGGCAACCTACTATCTGCCATTCTCCGCACATGTCCATACCAAACCAGCTGCCTGGTTTTGATATCGTGCACAATATCTTCCTCAACTCCCATTATTTCACGCACTCGGTCATTACGAACGCGATTTTTAGTTAATTTAACTAAATTCACCATTTTTCTTTAGATTCCTCCAGAAGGTTCCTCGAACACTCTAATATATGGACGTATCTAGGCTAAAAGAAACTATGTTACACGCAAACCCTATGCACATAGTTCTTTTTAGCATAAATACATCCATAAATCCAAAATGAATCACTGAATTCTCTGGAGTAACGATAAAATATTTGGAAATCCCTAACGTCCCCATAAATTTTAAAGAATTTCAAACTCTGAAATGTTGAAACGCCCAGTTTTACGTTAAAATGAATCCGTTCGACCGTACTGGCTCAGACACTTTCCCTTCGTTTTTCCTGGAAGAGTCTCTCATACATACATCAATAATGAACATTTAGAGTCCTGGCGTCTGAGCACGTAGGCACCTATCATTGCCGTTGGATTTATATGATTTTTAGACACCACGGCTGATCCACTAGTAAATTCACTGTCAAAACGACAGTGCTTGAAATGGAACATGCAATTACCTGGTTATTTTTCTTCTTGAAGCTCATCGTTGTATCCTTGGCCGGAATCTGGCTCTAACTTGGAATCCGACGAGTAAACTTTTTATTCATTCACGAAATAAGTTTCGCAGAAAAATTCAATCCGAATTTATTTACACCAACTTTCCAACTGCATTTACTTTTATTTTCAATAGAATTTACTCATTTTTTTTTTATATTTCTGAAGGATGTACTTTTTTGAGCTTTTAATTCTCTATTTATGCAATGAAATCTTAAAATCAATTAGCAAGTGCTGTATACACAAGATTCTTTGATAACGTTCACAATTCACCCGGGGTTCAAAAAAAGAAAATTGAAATGACATGATAAGATTATACCATCAAAAGTCAAGATTTAATCTCCTCGATTTCACATTAACCCTTTGAAAAAATATTTATTTAATAGTATTTTTTGTCGTTATTTTAAAGTTTTCTAATGTTACCATCACAATTTTATCATAATTGACAACTGCAAAGTCCTGGTTCCGCCAAAAGAGGGCGAGACGATGTCACGCTCCCGTGACGCCAAACGTGGCGTTGGAAACTCTCACGGAAATCGCGATAGGCGCGAGAATAGATGAAACGTGACTGATCAAATGGTCAACGATACGTCCGGGCCTAAATTTTGGCGCTGTCAAGTTCACTTATTGACGCAGGCGCGGTTTCGGGGATGCGTCCGGCGCGTCGCCCGCTCAAATTAGACCAAATCGATGGTTTCCAGTTGTCTCAAATGGGGAAGCGTGAAAGCGTGGTGTCAATGTTGCGATGCAAGCCATGCATCGTCTAGCTGCAAAAAATTGCATCGTTGCAAAAACGTGCTGCGTGTTGAATTGTTATATTGTGAAATAGGAGGTACACCCGCTGATCGCTTCGCGGTCCAACCCCCCCCCCCCCCNTCAAACGTTTTGTGCGCCTCAAGCGTTATGCGTTACGCGTTACTCTAATGATTTCCTATTATAAAGTACGATATGACATTCCGGAAAATTTGTCTTCGCAATGTTTCTGGTTCATCGCGATGCAGTTATTGTAACTATGCGTCGTGAATAGGTACTGTTTATTTTCTATCTAAGTTAAATACAATTCTATTTTTGATGAAATAAAGGGCCGATCAGGCATTCAAGTGTAACGTAAGGCATTTTAACCTATCTGTTGACCTCCGTTTCAACGGTGATCGGTCGCAGGGATGGTGTGCACTTGCACCTGCACCACGATGCCTTCTAACTCTAATTTATATCAATTATTAGCAGACACATCTACATGGTTACATTAAGTTAGATTATTATTAAAATCGACAGGTGAAAGAAATAATGGCATAGATTGCACTCCTTCGGTATAGCCATGTTTTCTTATTGAATGATATTTCTGCTAATACTGACGGAAGAAACCTGGCGTTTGAACTAATTTTATAATTTTGTTTCCAATCTTCGAGTTTCGGCCACCTAAGCTTAATTCCATGACGAACCCATTTGGTATCAGAACCTCTATTTGGTGCATAATGTTGTGTTTATCAATGTCGCTTTGTTGTGTTTCACATCACAGTCTTCTTATTATAAAGCTATTAAGTGACTATATCGATCAATTTTCCACGGGATCACTTCCTTGAAAAGTATATTTTCACAAGACGTTAGCGTATAATGAGAACGAACTAATGAATAAAGAGAGCTCCTTCAAAACCAAGGACAAGCAAAAAGCGTTACTTTTTTAAGTGAAAGTCAGAATTGGGCGCTCCTTTCTCTTTCTTCAATTGAATTGAAAAGAATTTGCAAGTGCATCAAATACAAAAGTTGAGTTGCGAATCAATTGCCGATTGAATTTGCGTCAAAAGCAGTGTGCTAAATTTTGGACTTTCTGACTGATTACTTCTGATGAAAATGACAGGTATCATAACTGTAACATTTAACCTTTCGGACAATTTCAAACAATCCATCTTGTCGATTTAACACTAATCAAAGACATTAATTAGTTCTGATATTACTTACCGTCTACGAGAAAAAATACCATGATATTAAACATTTTACAATCTAGTTAATGAGCGCACTGCACGAACAAATTTTTAGAAGTTTTAGAAAATTTAAGAGTTTTAAGTTTTTTTTCAAAGACTGCTGAAAATATCTAATCAAACTGAAGTGTCAAAGTGCAAAGTGTGCACCCCCCCCCCCTAAATACCACTTATTTATAAAAGGCAGTTATTTTAATCTGTTATATGCTCGGTGACTGACATTTTACGATTAAAAGCACTTGCACGCTTTTTTTTTATTTATTTTTTTTTTTTACTTAAGATGGAGACTGATCTAATGACAACTTGCTCTGTAAGACAGTAAAAAGAGCTTTGTCGGTAATTTTAACTCTCATTTCCAGAGCCGAAATGACAAAAATTGCTCCTCCGAAAAACTTGTCACTCTGCCTTAAGAAAATTCTCCGTGGACGGTCCTTTTTCACAAATCACCTATGTTTTTATTATAATATTACATGTAAATTAATACATATTTTGGTTTTGGATCATATGTGAATAAAACATTGACAAAAACAACAATGTTGCCGTTCCTTTAAAGGGAAACCCCTAGACTTTTCCATTTCATAAAAACACAACTTATAGAGCACAACATAGCAGATGATAGTGCTCTGAATTAACGCTTATACGGCAGAACGTTAGCTTGGCGTTCCCTTTCAATAAAATTTCAGCTACAAAATTGGACCGATAAAAGCGTCAAGCATCCTGACGATTTGACTCGGGTCGATAGCTATTTTAAGCCAGAGACATTTCTTGTCCGACAAGAATGCAGACTTGGCTAGCCCCGCCAAACTATCACTTTCAATATGCTAATAAACTTTCAATCGGAACCCAACTACCCGAAAAAGATGTTCGTCGAAATGAGAATTTTCCTGTTCAAGTGGATTAAGTTGACGTCGCACTTTCAGGCCCGCCACATCCCATCTCGGGCCCTGGTAGTAGTTTTAAGGTCCGGGCCCCAAGCACGGAGGGAGGGGGTTCCGAGGGGCATCTCCCGAGAAATTTTAGAATTTATACGACTAATCGGACGCATTTTCAAGCTTCCATAAAGCATTTTTCCATCTATTTCTGCGGAATAATTATGCTTCTTTTTTTCCTCTTTTAAGCACAAAATACTTGCGAATTGTTGCATTCAAAACATCTAGAAAATTTTTATTTTTTTTTTTTGGGAGGGGGGGCATATGATAATATTTTCAGTTCTAAGAGGGCCAGGCCCCCCTGGACTCCCCCTTCGTTTGTCTACGACAAGGGAGTTGAGCCATGAACCATTGAAGTTGAGGATGCCCAGACTGGAGACTCTCAGCATCTGACGACGAAAGAAAATGAAACGCAGTTACTAAAAATATCCCTCTGTACTGAAAAGCTTGAAAATAGATAGAAAATTTCCAGGAAGTATACTTCTTTGAAAATTTAAGAAGAATTCTCCAGTGCCCCAGCGTGTTTCTGAAAATCTATTCACCTTTTGCGAAATTTTTAGGGTAAATTTTTCACTTTTTCTTACGAAACAAGAGTTGCATGTGAATTCGTAGTGGTTTTTCACGGGTAACACGGGCCCCCTCCGGGGCCCGGGCCCCGGTACCAGGGACCCAGTATCCCACCGTCGTGGCGGGCCTGCCTTCATGCACGCTGGGCGTGTCGATTTCCTTGGACATTTTTGCAGTGGTGAGTGCATAGCTGAAGTGTGCTCCAGCTAGAATTGTATTTACAAATGGGTGGTTTTTCTACGAGGATTAAAAATAAACGAGGGGTACGGAATATAACAAAAGAACATGAACTATGGAAAACGATAATCCGGGTATCGGAACTTGGCTGTTTTGAAAACGCCTTCAAATGCGGCGTGATACCTCACGCATTCTGGAGAGTTCAAATAGTTGTATCATTACGCCGTATGAATGTGACGGAAGATTTAAATGGAAATAGCCTTTATGATAACAGCAGTTCTTATAATTTTTAATAATACATATACTAATTGTAAGACGATAACTGTTACTGGAAAAAACATGTTTTTTCACACTGTTAATTAAAAATTTGTTCTCAATGCTCTCTAAGGAATCTAGCCAAAATGAGGTTGACTATCGGCCATCGGTTCACTCACCGGGAGGTCGGGGGGGGGGGGGGGGGGGGGGATATGGAATACCATTCAGTTATGTGGGGGTCCGGAGGTTTCTCCCCCGAAAAATGTCTCAAAATTGTACGATAAAATTGTGAATTTTGAGCTATCTTTCGATGAAAATTTGATTTTTTTTGAAAGACGGTTTAAAGAAAAAAGAGCTAAATTTCAGAACTACGCGAAATTTATGAACAGACAGTTGTATCAAACTATTGAAATCGAAAGTCAACGAGGGTGCATTCTTTCCGACCCTGAGAAAAACGAATTTGAAGTGTGAAATTCTCATTGATTTTGTGTCTTAATGAAAGATTATGGTTTTATGAAGCAAAATTAGCTTCAATTTTGAAACTTGACTGTTCTGAGTGGTATACTTTAACTAGAGTATGGTAATTTTTTATGGGAAAAATTCCTCCAGACAATTTTTTTCTCGGGGTATTGCTTTCATTTTGCTGAATGAGGTATTTAAGCATATCATGCCCATTGAATTTTCTCTCTGATCACTGGCTGCATGTTTCGTAATCACCAATTAATGGTTTATATGTTATGATCAGGTCACTGTTTATCACCACAAGATTTATCCGGTCAATTGATAGGAGATTCAAAACTCAAAAATTTTTCACCTTTACCCTCTTATCCTGGGGAAAGCTCTCCCGAATTTCCTCTCATTGGGGCATAAATACCTTCGCATCAGGCGCAGCCAATCAACACCCCGGTCATGATTAGCGATAGGATTGGCGCGCGGAAATTCTTTCTTCCGCAAGCATGAGGTTGCAGCGCTCTTTTAAAACTCTCTTCATTACCTTCCCAGCTGAATTTCTGGGCAGTGCCTCTATTACTATAATTTGACGCAAAGTTTTGTGCGGCGCAACTTCTGATGAGACGAATCGCTTGAGTTCTTCAATGTCGATCTCCATTCCTGATTTCGGTACTACAAACGCGATTGTTTTCTCTACTGTGATGTCGTCGAGCACCCCTATAACACCAGCTTCTTTCACCGTCGGATGGCTTGTCAGTGCTATCTCCAAATCTAGCGGAGAAACCTGCAAAAATGAAATGCAATCACTGGTAAAAAAAAAACCTCTTGGTTCAAGAGTGCAGTTTCTTGTCGCCGGATTTAAGAGTCTGGACTCTTGTTTCAAGTGGATTTCGAATTGAATCAATGCAAAATCCGCTTGAAACAAGAGTTCAAGACTCTTAAATCCGGCGACAAGAAACTGCACTCTTAAGTCAATGCACCGCGGCATTGGTCCAAGAGGTTTTTTTTTTACCAGTGATGGGTGGCAGGTGCATATTTGACTCAAAAATAGGAAAAAAAAAAAAAAAAAATGCTGCAGTTGAACCGAGGCGTGCCACACTGCCACAATTGATATTAATCAGCTCAAGTAGGTAAAAACATCGCAGGTAAGCAATAATTCGAGAGTTGAGTGCGTAGCTCCCTAGGTCTTTATGACATCAGGGGCAAGAAGTTTTATTGAAAAAGGTCGCGCTTCGATGTAGCCTGAGCCGTTGCCTACGAGAATGGAGAGGCCATAACCACTCGGTTTCGTGAGGTCAAACTAGGAGAGTAATCGCCGTGTTAATCAATCAGAACCGCCGTCGATCGGCCGAAGTTGCATGAGTTGCGTTAGTGGGGTAACGATTTTCGGTATTCAGTAGTATTTAGCTTTCATTTCCTCAATTATCAGACAATGTAATTTATGAACTAGGCAGTTTTCTAATGTGAAATTTTATCTTCTTTCAAAAAGGTTCTTATGAATATTTGCATCAGATCAACCTCTGAAAAGTCTCAAACATGTGTCATGCGTTCTCCAATAAGAACACATGTTAAATCGCGGCTGAGTTTCATGTACCAGTGTGACGTCACAGAATCGTAGTTACGGCCTCTCTATTCTCGTAGACAACGCCTGAGCGTTCAGCCTTCCAAAGTTAAAAAAAGGTTAATTTTTTTTCCAAACTCCGGGTTGGTCCAATCGTCATGGACAATTTCGTAATACTTTTTTGTGCCGCACCCTCATTCAAATGTTTCAGTTGATTTTCTTGGAAGTTCTCACCTTGAGATGGGCAAAGACTATTATTTCTCCTGAAAATGTATTTAATTTGGACTGTGGATTTGTAAATAGTGTAATAAATAGACTAAATTGATTTTTCGTCTTTTTTTATATGGGAATAACTACTTCCAGGTTTTTCAGCATCAAAGTTCAGTCGTGCTCCTGCTTGACTTGGGGTAGCAAACAGACAGGGTAAAAGTGCTCACAGATATGTAATTTCCCTTCACTGCTCATCGTTTGAACCCAACAATCATTCAAAGGTTGAAGATATGGATCACGAAGTGTAAGTGAAACACGAGAAATGAGATTTCGGTGAGCGGTTCAAAAGAAACATATATATAATGGCGAGCTAATTTTGCATGAGTCACTACCAAATTATGAAAAACCTTCAAAGCGTGAACCCTTTCAAACTGATATTTAGACGTCAGGTGATGCAAGGTATTTTGAGGAAATATTATATACTTTTATGCCATACGTAGCGGCTTGTCTTTTTTACGTGTTATTTCGGAAACTAGGTAAATTTTTTATCAGTTTTCAGAAACTGATATCGATGAAACTTCATAATGAATCCAACGGATTCAATAAAACATAAGTGTTCGGCTGGAACAGATAAAAAAATGAGTTATGAGACAACTTGAGGTGCAAGTAGTATTACCGATCTCCCGTTACATTTGATTAGTTCTTTGGATCGTCCGACCAGATGAAACATGCCGGTTTCGTCGTAGTAAACTATGTCTCCAGATTTGAACCATTCACCATCAAAAGCTTCTGTGGTCGCTTCTTCGTTGTTGTAGTAGCATTTCATTACCTATAATCCATAGAAATCACTTATTTAATTGTCTAACCGTATGTCTATCGAGGTGTTTCAAAATTTCAAATTATATTTAATTTCTATAAAACTCAGCTAGTAGCTTTACAGCTAAGGGCTTGCAAGATCTCCATCGAACGTTTTTGATGTGAGGAGAAAAGTAGGCATAGTTGGACTGCATTTTGCAATTTGGAACTTTAAATTCTGGTACATCTAAAAAACCACTTATGTGCATAGGTAAACTAATGACACATACGTTGTTTTAAAACCGGACCAGAATTTATAGTTCCAAATTGCAAAATGCAGTCCAGTTGATTCTAACGCAATGCATTGATGGAGAACGATACACGTTCATTCATGTATCGCGCTGATAATTTTGAATTTATAGATGTGATGATGAGGTGGACAGCATATGTATAAAATTTGGGACAGTCTTAATTTAAACGTCCAATTACACGTAGTCGTGTTAAAATTAAAATGCTAAAAACCTCACTCTCGTGCACGTGAGTATAAAGTTTTTAACATATTAATTTTAGCTATAAGTTCGAGTGTGGGGTTCCTGTTCTTTTATTTTCGATGATATTACTAGCTGTCGTTTTTATATTTTTATTCGATTTCCGCACTCCTCACTTTCGGTTAAGAAATTATTTTACCAGCCTTTCATCATAAATTTCGTAGTATTAATCGCGAAAATGCAGTGAAAAAATACCTGAGGTCCTCGAATATACAACTCCCCTGCTTGTCCTGGACCGAGGTTTTTACCATCCGCACCAACAACTTTTAGCTCGGTATTCGGTGCCGGATAGCCGAGGACCGTCGGATCCAGGTTGTTTTTTTGTGGTATAATTATAGGAAATGCTTCAGTCATGGCGAATCCTATTTTTAACACAGGACGATGAAATTAATATTAAAATGAAAAAAGTAAAAAAATATGTATACATAAATGAATATGCATAACTGACAAGACAATCATGGCTAAAAGGCCGGACAGTACTTGTTGACAAGCATAATCGCACTGCTAACATCATCGACATGAGCATCCCTAATAATCATAACTTAGAGCTAAAATATCAAGAAAATATGGCAAAACATCCGCCTATATAGCTGCGAAAATGAAGCTATTATAGAATCTAAACACCGTGCACATCAATTACCCTTTATAATGTCAGTCACGGGGATTGTTCCAAAAAGACATCTTTTAGGACGTAAAATAAAGAGTTACCTGCTTAAATCAAACTAGAATTCATTTGTTATGAGGATTGAATCCAGGATTGCGCAAAAGGTCTAAGAAAATATGAGCATTTAACGAAAAAGGTACAGAGATTGCGCGCATAGTAACCTTAACGTCTGCTACAGGAATGCGCGAATCAAAGATGAAGTTAATTTAAGGTAGAAGTTTGGCAAAACAGGAAACAGTATGGGGAAAGACGCATTTTTATGTTAATGCTAGTTTAGGTTAGTTTGTTGACAAGCCATCGATGTTTTACCTTTACCCTCTGTTGATAAATTAGGTGAAAATATTGACAAATGGTCTTGGGTATGAAGAACTTTCCTAATTTTTCTCGGAAAAATATTTAATCGGGAGAAACGAGGCAACGTTGGATTGTTCATACTGCAACGAAACACAGTATGGGCCTTTTAAGCTCTTTCAATCGATGCCGCGATTATTCTAACGCGAGTTCGAATAATCGCCCCCGACGCGACAGTGCGGCCGGCATTAAACGTATATAAGCGCCTGCAAGCCTGTCGGAATACTTCTCGCATCGCGCCAAACACGGTGCAGTCGGTCAGTTGACGCGTCAACACAACTTCCTTAGCCACTGAGGTAGAGCCCTGAAGGGTGGTAAAGGGTGAAGGCAAGGAGGTAGTGGACAGGGAAGGAAATTAACATTTTCTGACACTAAAAAACAAACAAACAAATGGAGTCTTAAACTTACCACATGTGAAAGTGATTGCATCTCGATCTGGCATTTTATCCAAAAATTCTTCGACGGCGGCTGGTGCAAATGAACACCCAACGCATACAATAGAGTGCAGTGACTTCAGGTCGTCAGTCTTAACGAGTGGATTCAAATCGGAAAAATAGGGGGAAGGGCATAGCCATATTACACTCTGCGTCAAAAAATGTTTACTTCATTGTAATTCCAATCGCGTCATATTTCTATTAGGCAGTTTGTGTGCTCAAACTGTTATGAAAATAGACTCAAGTTATTCCTGGGACATTTTTAACTTTATCTCCAGTGTTCAATTCCGAAGATGCGATTTTCAAAGATTGCTCACAATTCGCGTAAATTAATTCCTCAAAATAATTACATGCTCGTGGTAATTTTTTTTAAATTTCAGGCCGACTATTTCTTTATATGGTCACACAGATTTATAAACGCACCTTTTTTGGAGGGGACGTGAATAAAACCACGTTATTTACTCTTCCACAGGATAATGTACATGTATTTTGTCCAAGAACTTAAATCTCATGTGAAGGTGAATTTTTTAACGTACCAATGGCTCCAAAATGGTTAAAACTTCAATTAACTTGTGCGGATCTCGTGAGGGTAGGATCAGACAGTTCGCGCCTGAAGTTAATCCAAGCAAAGTAAATGATTGAGCAGCTGCATGACATAAGAGGGTTGATATCACCACTGAACAAAAAATGTTAAAAAAATGAAATGAAAAGAATAATAAACAAGTTGGATTTTGCAATCGCTAGCGATAGCAATATTCGTCATGGGAACGTTAGCTTCTGGGATATGAAAATGTTAAGGTACAGTTCGTTTGTAGTATCTTCTGAATTGAAGGGGCTATGTAATTTTGTGTTGACATCTCTTTTTTAACATTTTTAATTATTTTCTTTGCATACAAGAAAGCTGTTATGTACCAATTATTTATTTTCGTTGGATTATATATGGTTTTCGGAAGTTAACGCATTTAAGTTTCAGGTTCGCTTTTTCGGCGTAAAGTGTACATAAGGTGTCCCAAAAGCACCGGGACTTGTTCTGTAACTTCGAAAGTAAGATAGATACAGACATGATCTTGATTTCATTTTAAAGATCAACTCAATACCTATCGATTAAAACCAAGATCAGCTCAATCGGATAAAAATTGACCGAGTTATGGCAATTTGAAATCAGCGAGGAAAGTTTACGCCTACGGTTTTTAAGGAAGATTCTTCATCGCCGTAAATCGAAAAGTCGGCCGATAAAGTGATGCTTATTGTGTTTTTTTATTTTCGAGGTGTCATTTATCAACATTTTGTACCATCAAACACAACAGTTGACAGTGCGTATTATTGCAAAGTACTAAAGGAGTTGAGAATGCACATTTCCCGGAAACGGTCGGACTTGAAAGCTTCGTGGATACTCCATCAAGACAATGCGCGGCCTCACACATCGAGCTTAACACGTGAATTTATAAGTAAAAATGGAGTTGAAACAATCCCTCATCCCCCTTATAGCCCTGACTTGGCTCCATGTGATTTTTGGATGTTTCCTACGCTTAAAAAGGAGCTTCGCGGACGAAGATTCGTATCGAAGACCGAAATCCAGAATGCAATTCAAAACTTCTTCAACTCCATCCCAGAGGAAGAATTCAGGAAAACAATGTTGGATAAGTGGCAAGAGCGCATGAAAAAGTGCATCCGGTTTGATGGACGGTACTTTGAAAAGCAAAAGGAAGTTATGGAAGATTCGGAGGAAAGTGGATACGAATATTAACTTTTTGAATTCTGGTAAGGGAAAAATCTTCCTAAAAACCGTAGGGGTAAACTTTCCTCACTGATTTCAAATTGTCATTTACTCGGTCAATTTTTATTCGATTGAGCTGATCTTGGTTTCAATCGATAGGTATTGAGTTGATCTTTAAAATGAGACCAAAATCATGTCTGTATCTATCATACTTTTGAAGTTACAGAACCAGTCCCGGTACTTTTGGGACACCCTACGTATGATATGTTTACTCTACACATATGCCCGAATACGCATCATAAGGGACCTATGTGCTTCCTAAGTTGCCAAGTATTAATTATTGTTAGATGATTGGTCTAAAACATTCAATACAACCAGTAAAAATTAAGTGTCCCCTACGAGATCCGAACCCCCGCTCGCACAAAAGAAAGCCACATTACCCACTTGAGAATGGTGCCGTAGTCATCTGAGCCATCTCGTCGCACGGAAAGACGGTGAAAGAAGAGAACAGTTAAGTGATCTCGGACGCTGAGCGGGGCTTCACAAAAGAAGTCCTTGAGACTTTGTCCACTGATGTGATATGTCAGGACGGAGTAAGTGCCTTTCTCTGTGAGACATTGTTTGCCTATGCCCCCATGTGTCTCAAGGTTCATCTCAACATGCATCTGCTATCGCGGCAGTAAACTGAGGCAATATTTCTGTATTCATGGATTAAATCCATCAATCGAGTTCTGATTTTGGCTCATATATCCGTAACGAGTCCTCCAGAGCAATTTTCCACCTTGTACGATGGTTATTATTTCTTTACTTCTATTTTTCAAATTTGAGGTGGGATAATGGCGGCTTCTCAAGAGCAACGAGGTAGGCGATCTTTTGCACCAACGAACAGAAAACTGATGGCGAAAAATAACCAATCAGAACCTCCCAAAAAAAAGAATTTGCCTAAAAACGGAACTTCGTGGTTCTGCGCAGATTTACCAGTCAGACACGACATCTCAAGGTGGAAAAAAACTCGCTGAAAGCGAATTTTAGCAATCAACACAACTTGACGTAGAGACATGATTGGCTAAAAAATACAACGGTTTTTGATACATCGGAAAATCAACCAAAAATCGGAGACTGGGCGAAACGCTCAAGGTCGCAGAGGTATAGGGAATCCCATTGCGAAAGCAACGGAACGATTCTAATATCATGGGGAACTCCGTTCCCATGACAAAATGAAAAGAAGAAATGAAATTAATTCTGGTAAAGGTAACGGGCGTCGTGTTCGGCGAGTGCCAAGTAAGGTGTCGTTAATATATGTATATACTGAAAACTTTTGTCAATCATTATCTATGTTCAAAATAATTGAATTAGTATTCTTGCTCCAGATTGACGATAAAATCTCGCACTCGCAAATCTGAGACTCGCAGCCAAGGGCTTTTGAAGCAAGTAAGAGCCAATAAGAGCGATTTTAGCGTCATTTGAGTCATTCAGAGTTACCAAAAGACCAAATAATCAAAATATACCCAAAGATTCGAAAAAAGAAAAGGGAATGTTTAATCTTATCTTTAATTTGAGAATAAAGTATAATTATTCTTAACAGTGCACAATGTGCCGGTCGTTGTGCGGCAGTGTAATGGGCTTGCGTCATCGTTATGTCTTCATATTTTATTAGATATACCGTCCTGTCTCAACAATTTTATCGGGTGCTTAAAATAGTTGCTGAAGCAAAAAAACAACAACAACGAGAGCCCATCTACTTATAAACTTAACCTGAAAAGAAGGACGATGAGTGAGGGGTCAGCCAGATTGCGTTTGTTATGTTGTATGCTTTTAATTAAGAAACTGCGACACGTGCGGCCAAAACGAGTTTCGCGTTGAGATGTGATAACGGAGTGACTCATCTGTTTCAAGTTATTTCTTTGCTGAAGAGTAATTTTCAAAACGGAAAGCCAAAAAGCGTATTGTATGCAAATTGTGAAGTTGAGAGTGGATTGTCATGCTTCCCCCTTTATCATGATTTTGAGTTATTTTTTTCTTTTTTATTTTATTTTTTCTACTTCAAGTAGCCCACAAGGGCTAATCCTGCGCTTTAAGTACCAACCCCCTCCGTCCCTATTGAACCAGTCCCAGGCAACCATTGTTGGAGACCATCAAACTCGGGTCGCCTGGCCGGGAATCGCACCCGGGACCTCCCGATCATAGAGCTAGCGCTACAACCACTACACCATAGGAGGCCGACACACAGACCACAAGAAGCTACTTTTCGCTCTAGTAAAAGTTTGCAGTAGACCCATCTAAGTCGAAGAATATTTTTGAGCAGGATTCCTATTCGCTTTTCCTAAAAACGTAAGTAAGAGCGAATGAATCAAGATGCAAACCGTTAACGTCATGTTCCAGAAGAGGAGTCATAGCTACACCTGCAACAGTAGCTTTATGCGTCCGTGCAACCATTTTCCGCTCGCTCGTGGTACCACTGGAGCAAGGAAGAAATGCAATAGCCTCGGGTGACACTTTCGGCCATTTCTGCTGGATCTCGCTGCTGTCCACCATTTCGGACCAGGTGGTCCAAGTGGCGCTCAACCCTGGTCTTCCGTTATCCGCGTCGACGACAATGACGCACAAAGATGATGATAGGTCTTTAAGCACCTCATTGATCATTGGTATCAGTGATGTTACTGTCACAATGACTTTCGCATCCGCCGTTTGAACTTGCTGCAGTACTTCATCTACGAAACAAACGGGAAAACAGTGCTCGATTACCTCTGGCGTGTTTTTAGGGCTGTCAAACTGGCGCATTTTTTACTCGTGGTTAAAGAAACGGAGACACTTTTTTAACCGGTTTTTGTAAAATAATTGTCATGAATGAAGCAAATATTTGATGTAGTCAGGGATATTGGCAATTATGGGTCATTGCAAGCTTCAGAAATCATTCATTTTAACGCTTATAGTATCATCAGGTGTATGAGCAAATAATGATTTGTACAGACTTAAAATGTTCCTCAGAGTATCAGAGCAGTTTTCCAGCACCGTTAAAAATTGAAGAAAGGAAAAACGGAAGAAGATTTTTAAAATAAAGACACGATTTCATTGAAAATACAATAAGAATGCGTACTTTTCTTATATGATGCATCGATCATGGTGACCAAGAGTCCAGCCTCGAGAGCTCCAAGAAGAATGAGCGGGTACTCGATAGAGTTTGGGAGAAAGATGACTAGCACATCCCCAGGCCCAAACCCCCTCCTCAAGAGGGATGCACCAAAACGATGGCTCAGGGAGCGTGCCTCGGTGTAGCTATAACTTCTTCCCGTTTCGCCACATGTCTGGTTAAAAGTACGTTGAAAATTGATACAAATTATTTTTTTTGCGACTGTGTTTCGCCAGATGCAGAATTCTTCATCTCTCTTGCTCAAAAAGTTAATTAGTCCAGTCTGAACTCTCTTATGTGAGCTTGTGTTCCAAGTTTTGATGAAAGTATTATGTGATTTGCAACTTAGTTTCGGACCATGTCTTGCGGACTGTCTTCACTTTACTTATATCGGGAGAGCGCGGCCAATTTTTTTGACTGCAGGTTTGTACCTCACTTTGATCGGCGCACGTACTACATGGAGCTCTTACGGTCACAAGTGATAACTCTCTCATTCGGTCTTGCTAAGGAAAAACGCCGTATGAACATTCGAGAGTTGCCGAATTCCCTCCGATAACATGTTCATTTTTGAGGAATGTTAGCAATTTTTTTCCTTGAAATTTTTACACTGTTTGGATTAAATTACAAACGACCTTCTCTGAAAAATCAGAGGAAATTAAGCAAGGCTCAGACGGCTTTTTCCCTTAGCAGATCAGCATTGGTCGTCAGGCTTTAAAACTGTTATGTCAACACTGTCACCAAAAAATAATCCGCGGGTGTACCGTTATCCACCCTCTCTTCTTGAATTGACGCAATTGACGGTTATCTTTAAATCAGCACGTCATGATGATCCTATATCTATCCTAAATTTTTTGTTTCAGAAGGATGTAGCTGAAGGAAGCAATAAAAATGGAATGGTTTGTAACAAAAAAAATCTTAAAAATAATGTTTTTAAAGTGAGATGCATCAGAGGCGTGTGGCGTGCTTTGCGATATGTCGATTGTTATGCCATTTAAACCTATGGAAAAGGATCGATAAGCAGGGTGTTCGCAGCGAACACTTGAATTATCGATTCTTTACTATAGGTTTAAATGACAAACCAATCAATTATCGCAATTCACGCCACGCTACTGAGATGCATCGTTCTAAAATTGTCTGTATTAGACAGGGCATTTTTAAACAATTCATTCAATAAATTTAGCTTAAACAGTACCAGAGCTTGTTGTTCTGCGTAATTTGCTGCTTTGCTCCAGACGAACGTGGAGAGATCCTGTTCTGGAACCGTGACGTCCGGTAGGGTTGATCGCATCACCCCATCACTAGATACCACAGCAAAGGGCATTTTTTCTCCTCGCAGTATCTCGAGAATCAGCAAATCTGTCCTAAATTGCACAAATGAGCAGAGTTTTCCGGAAAATTCGGCAAAAAATACACGCTCGAAAAGTCTTCGTCACCAACCCTCATATCTGGATGGACGAAGGATTCATTATATAATAATAACTTGTTATTGATTACAGCAAAACTTTCGTTATGTCACACGCACATCAGCACAAGATTTCCTTTTCTAAGTAGGTTGTAAGTTTATTTTGACGAAGGTAACAAACATGTAATGTGACCTAGTAAAGACAAAAGATGAATTGCACAAGACTCATAGACGCACGAATGGTAGCTAATCAGCTATAATTGAGGAGCTTGTGTATGTAGCTTACAAAATCTGTACATTTTAAAGACGGAAAATAATTATCTCAACAATATAAAGTTAAAGAGGAGCCAATACTCATCATCCACTTTTTAAATGAGCCAAGTTTTTACAGATTAGATAAAACATTTCCACGAGTGGGACATGATTGCCATACGTTCCCACGCCGAAAATGTGCTTTGCGATTTTATGAATGGCTCCTCAAGTCTGTGACCCCGCATTCCGTTGGCCCTCCATGCCCCTGTGAATATGTTATCGAAGAAGAGGGTTACAGGCATTGGCATCATGCTGGAAAATTCACGCATTACGTCACAATGGCCGAATCTGCTAAAATACATATGTATAAATGGAATATGCAGACTCATGACACAAGGTTGAACATTTTTCCACTTGTAAACCTATTGGTCTACAATTTTTTATGTCAGAAAAATGTTAAAAAAAAAAAAAAAAAAAAAAAAAAAAACGCTACGGACTGTGCTCTTCAATCACTCCCTGATGAGAAAAAAAAGCTTTTTTTCCTGCACATATTCTCCACGTCTGATCCTACTTCGTTCCTTTATTGTCCCTGCCTCTCAAACGTTATGGTGATAAAAAGTATGAAATTAAAATTAAAGTAGATCCGGCGAAAAACAGTACAGAATTTCTCTACGTATTCAATTCAATGTATGTAAAAAAAATACAACCTTCGTATGTGGAAGCAATGACGCACGAATTTTTCCCGTTATTGTCTGTTTGAGTAAGCATATGCTCTGCGGTTCATCATGCAATCATTGAAATCGCACGATCCATCCTCCATGGAAGTGCATTTGCCTTAAACAGAAACACGGACAATGCAAAGAATTTTTTGAAAAAAAGCATAGAGCCCCCCCCCCCCCCAAAAAAAAGAACCCCAGTCCCTCGCGTAAAAAGTCCGTGATTGCAAAACCCTGCTAGGCCCCTGGTTGCGTCATGGACCCAGATACCTTTCTAAATTATTTTTTCCATCTGCACCACATTCTGCGAAGAAGATCACTTTCGTGTTATGTGTCGAAGATTCAAGTCATAGTGAATTCCGAATCTTGTCACACAGTCCAACTGCGTTTTGAAGATGATACTTTTTACGTGATAATTCACCCCTGATTTGACCAAATTCAATTAAGCATGTCCGTAATTTTTCCTGCGCCAAAATTCCAATGGATTCTGGTTTGTGCTTGTCTCCTGATTTTTGGGTTTGTGACTCCGAACACGCATGAGTCACCGCAATTCATAACGCGACCTCTCAACACTTCGGGTAACATTTCACTTATTGTCGTTTATGGTCCTGCAAGTTTTAGCTTGAATTTATACGTTTCTTTAAAGTCTTCCCGTTGAAAAAATAAAACAAAAGAATACATGATAAAAAATAAATTCTCAACGCGAGATTTTTCCAAAGTTGAATTTTAGAAGTTTATACACTTAATGCTGAATATCGGGATTCAAAACAATTGATTGATATGAGAATTGACCGTACACATAAATATGAAACAAGTTCTTCATTGATTAATTTATATACTATTTTCTCTTTCCCATTCTTTTTTAAGTAATTCTGCGTTTCAGAGCTAATGAGAGATAAAGAGTCACAAGAGGTAAAGAGTAAAGAGCCGCCCCGCTATAAAAAAAAAAAAAAAAAAAAAAAAAAAAAAAAAAAAAAAAAAAAAAATACAAGACAAGATCAATTTATTATTACATGACGGCAAGAATTAAATTATTTCCTTCGTCATCAAACTAGTGCTACTCAATTTATTTCTCTGACTTTTCATAATTGCTTTCCTTTTTATGTCTCTCCACCGTCCGAATAAAAGTGTAACTCTCGATCAAATACTCAGCAAAAAGTGTTTTTCGGTTAATTTTTACCATGAATCAAATTTTGAATTTAATATGTCCTACAATAGGGTGTTCCCCCCTGTTGCTTTGCGGCCCAATGTTCCGGGCACTTCACACCTCCAATATAAACATAAGAAAAATAAATGTACATGAATTAAAAATTTCTGGCCATATCGACTCTGAATGATACGGCAAGGTGCCGTTGAGAGACAATGTGATTGCCGGACTATCTTCCCGGAAATGGGGAGGGGAGGTTCTCTCAGAGATTCGAAGTTGGCGCACGGCCTCGCGAAATTGTCATCATTGAGAACCTCCGAAAATGAATGATACGAGAAAACAAAATAATATGTACTTTCAACTGAAATATTCCTTAATTTAACAGAACCTAATCTTGTTTAAATTATTGCGGCAGTTGCCCCGTGCAGAAATGAGGAAGGGTATGAATAACTTTGTGCTACCTTAAACAGGCGAGCCAGTCAAAGGAAGGTAACCTTAAACAGGCGTACCCAGGAGGTGAGTGGTGCAGAGCGCATACTGAACTAACAGCCGTTCCGCGGCTGTATTTATATGGGAGCCCAGGAACTGGTTTGTTATACAACAAACCAGTCGCTTATGTAACTGAGCTGGTGTGAAAACTGGTTCGTTATGTAACAAGCGACTCCGAAGGTAAACGCTGTTGCCAGACTACCTGTGTCCTGGACACGACTCTATTATGAATCGCATTATTCTAGTCATTTCCTCCCAATTTTTGCATTGCATGTTTTACCACGCTTCGATTTACATCTTAATACAGCAATGTAAATTTGCCTGTGGCTGAAAGGGGTCGATACCCCCTTAATGTCCCTCAATGGATGGGTCTCAAGTCCGATTTAATCAAATCTTTGACCCTGAGTATTTATTTATTGTTATTGCAATCAATTCAGAGAAAGGGGAAACTGGGCTCAATTGAGTAAAGACGGTAAACTGGTACTTTCACCAGTATCTGATTAGGTAAAACTGAGGAGGAACGAGCACGAGTGAATTGAGCATATTATTCCAAAAATAAATATTTGTAACGTAAATCAAAAATGATGAACGTTAATTGACGTGCGTTAGGACAATTATTAACGTACTCGTAATTTCGGTTAGGGATGATAGATTTATGGAGAGTTCCCGGAGTTTTAGGAGAACTTTACCTCATTCAAAAATCAATAGAGGTTACTAATTGAAGCCATTGAATGAACGAAGATTATGAAATTGTTTAAAAAACTCGTACGTAAGAAACACGAGAAAAGGATCTAAAAAGCAGAGAGGAACTTGCAAAATATACCTCATACTTATAAAAGTTTCTACAATTCTGTAATTTTTACTGATAACCATCCACTTTCCACGTTGTCGCTGAAAAAACTTCCATGATAAAAATAAAATAATAACGTGATGACACCCTTTTGTGCGGGCTAGGCTTGGCCCTTCTGAAGAGGTATTATTTGTTGATTTTTGTCTAAGTTTTTAAGTTTATAGTTTTCTTACTGTAAATCGAACCAAATCTCTCTGTTTGGTCAAAGCATTTTCAGATTTGGCCTGATCTTTTTTCTCCCCGCAACCAAACCAAAATCAAAATCTGCGTTTCACAAAAAAAAAGCGTTTGCATGAATTAATTTACGTCAACGTGACAGTTTTTTGTAATTCGGAAAAATTAGAGTCCTTGGACTTCGCTCAGTTTGCTTCAATAACATAGAGTACATAGAGTCGTAATGTAAATGGGAGAGCTGGCGCCGTGTTCTGCTCGACGAGTTCTGAGCCCGATGTGCGCCGAGTTCGGGTCTTTTTTTCGATACATGTTCGATCCAAAATGGCGGTGTGAAATACGTAGTGACTCCTATCTTCTTTGTTTACATCGGAAGGCCGGGTACCCTTGTATCGAAAACAATCGATTATGTATCGAAAAAGTGACCCGGCGTCACACAGGAGTCTCGGAATCCGGAACCTGGAAAATGGTTAAAAGTGGCGCCAGCTCACCCACTTACATTACGACTCTATGTACTCTATGTTCAATAACCTCCATTCTGTTTTCTTGCCAGCATCAGCGACCTAATGACGACATAGAATTCGTATATTGATATTTTTCAGCGGTGCTGATACAACCTCGCATACAAGCAAAGATCGCTGATTATGACCTGAATCTTGATGACGAATTCCACGACCCAGATCAAGCACTTGAGGTTAGAACCTCTAAGAGTAAGAAGCCTAAAAATTCCGCTAAGAATGTCCAAGCATCAGTTTATTCCGTTAATGGAGGTAATGTAAAGAAACCCAGAGGACCCGCAAAATATTCGTTACCAGTTCAGGCGGACCCAGAGGTGGATAAGTTGGCAGACAAGCTGGGAAATACTAATCTTTCCGCGCAGCATCTTAACGACAGTCCGTCCACTGCTGATTCTTCCCCACGGAGACGTAATGCCTTAAACCTTTGGCGCCGCGCCACTCTCTCGGCCTCTAGACAGCTATCGCGGAGTGCATTAACTGCATTACGCAGGAGACATAGGAGAGGTTCCGGAAGAAGGCCTGAGGATACCCAAAGTAAAACTGACACGAGTATGTCGGAAAATCAAGGAAACGAATCAAAGTAACCATTCGGATATCCCTAGCGTGTGCTTGGGATACTAAACGCACTATTTATGTATACTACACGGGATACTCCACACTTGTTGAATTAGTTAGTTAGTTAGTATATTTTAAGACATTCAGCATCACAGGCTAGTAACGCCTTTACAGATAATTTTGAAAATGGGAGTATATACGAAAATTTAGATTTTTAAATTAAGAGAGATGAAGAGTTTCAGAATTTTGGTAGTAATCTTGGGTTCATCGCATGTAAGTGGGTTTGTATTTCTGTTGATTGTAGGGGAGTAGATCTGTGATAGGAGATATCGAGGGCAGAGCAGTTCATGAGTAAGTGTTTGATGGTTAGAAGATTAAGAATTTAGCTATATATATGTCGCAGGCAAATAGTGAAATCAGGCATTTTGTCAAATGCCTAGGCAGATAGCTAAATGTTGATTGTCTCCAAAATTTTGTGAATTTATGGCGGAGAGCTTCTCGAGTTTTCAAATCTGTGGAAAAATTCCTCATCAAACCTCCTAACTCTTTTTTTCTCTTCCTCTTAAATTGTTCCTCATACTGTTAAATGTTGAAATTCTAAACATGCTGTATTCTTTGATATGCTGAAAATTTCAAAGATAAGTGTCTACTCAGGAGCTGAAAATCGTTTAAAATACTATTTTGTGATGCAAATTTTTACTGAGAATCTTTTCTTACAGGTTTAATTAATTATTTTGTCTAAAATTAGGAAAATAATCAGAATTTCAATATAAGCTAAAATATTTGATTATTTGTCGAGGCATTTGAAAAAATGCCTGATTTTACTAGTTGCTTGCGACACACACACACACACACACACACACAACCACACCCTCACACACACACACACACACACACACATATATATATATATATATATATATATATATATATATATATATATATATATACTTTGGCGATTAGTTAGCCTATAAAAAGTGCTAGCGTGTTACTATAGGATTTAGAAGCTGGTTTTCGAATACATCTAAAACACTAGAATTTCTTAGGAACGATGCATTAAAATGGAGAGAAACTAGAATATTTCAAAAGTGATATCCGAAACGTTTAAGGCGATAAGTTATGTCGATATAAAGGTAATTTTTATGTTACATAGTCATTTTTAATCATTTTGAGAAATATTTCGAAAACGTATAACAGACGTCAAAAGTTTTGAAGTAGCTCTTGATTTAGTGTGAAAAAATATGTTTAAAAAAAAAAATAATGGAAAATTTTTGGAATGTATGAGCGGTACACGGACTTTATGTCAACTTTTTTTACGTCGACAGACTTTTCGTCCACAATTTTTACGTCCACAGTTCTGAAGCCCACACTATTGTTAAGTCAATCACTTAAACGTCCACTAAGTTAAGTCCACAAATATAAAGTCCACTA